GCGATGTCGGCAAGCGCCCGATGGACTTCAAATTCGGTATACTGAGCCATTAGGCGAGGAAAAATGCATCCTGAGTAAATGAAGCGATTTAGAAAAGGTTGAGAAAAGCGGTGATAATTTGAAGTTGGGGGTTATCTAGAAAGTCGGTGGCTGGGCATCATTTTTTCGGTGGGCCAGAAGCAGGGGTGGGCCAGAAGTGGGTGCTTTGACTTATCTGCTTTCTCATAGATCTGCAGAGGTCATTCAAAATTACGTAGTTGATATGGCAGGGTTCTCTTATCATAGACTCTCACAAAAGCCAAACCGACCTGGTTATTCTAACCGCGATTCTTTAGCATTGCTAATGCGACATCCTTGTCGAAGGTGTATTTATGGCCTGCACTCGTGTTCTCCGAATTCTCGATGCGAAGGCCAGTGAACGTCATTGATGCCGACTTGGCGTCAAGGTTGTTTTCATGTTCGTCCCCAAACCTGGTACCCATTCCACCGCTCACTGACACATCGGTGAAGGTATGGCCCTCTGCCCTTGCCCTGTTCAGCAAGGCATCGCGTAGAAGCTGATCATGGTTTCCGAGAACTTCCAAAAGCTGTTGCATCGCCTGTGGCTGGAAACGGCCCGCCTCCTCTGCACACAAAGCATTGTGTTGAGGCTGGACCGATGGAAACAGCTTGACAAGGGTATCAACAGCTTCGCAGATTGAGTCGATGAGGCTGTTGAAGTCGGTCTTGCGGTATAGCGCCCATCGCGTTTGACGGCCCGTCTCCTGAAGTTTTCTGCGTCGCTTGATGACAATTGTACGCATGCCATCGATAAGTCCTTTCAAAGGCTTGTCGGATTTCTCAAGTTCCTGAGTTGCATCTAGGACCTCCAAATCCTGTTTCTTGTCCTCGTCATCCAGGTTCAATCCCCTGAATTGCTCGGACTTTCTCCTGGCAGTCTCAAAAGCATCCTGAATTGTCTGAAGCCATATTTTAGCCTTCAAGAGTTCGCTCTCTTTCCAGGAACCCTGTTGAAATCTGGATGCTGCTTCGGCATTCTCGTCCAGAACGCCCATAGCCTCCCCCCATCGCGTGAACTCCATTTCCGCAGCTTGAAGTTTGGCAACGCAAAAGGCGAAATCCTGATGGAAGGCTCTTCCAAACTGGACATACTGAAAACAATCCAGTGATGACTTGAAAAAGCCGGGAATGGCCAGCACGAAAGCAGGAGAAGCCATAGTGAAAACGACAGATTTCGAAGCAATTGCGATCCTATTCGGAAACGAATTGTGAAGGAGGAGTTTTTAATCAATACCGAAAAGGCGAGCTCTGTGTCATTTCAAGACCCAAAGTCTTCTCAAGTTCTGCCGCCGCTCTTTGACCTGTACACACCCGCTGTTGCGCCAAGGCGATCGGCCTTGGGCATCAGTCAATGTGCAGAAAACGCCCCAACAACTGCCTCAACGGAAATGAGACATTCATGCAGACACTGCCTCAAACTCCAGTCAGCTTCAAATTTCTACTTTTGCTTGCCCGACAGATACTAGCGCTCATGCGCAATGCAAGCAGGCTGGGATGGATGATCTCCTCCCCCAATGAATTGAGTCTTTCCTCTAGCCCTTGGGTTGCGCCCAAGGTTGACTAGACCTTGATCTTCGGTCAATAATGCAGCAAATGTTGAAACGACTTGCGGTCGAAGCCTTCTAAAATGACCGACTTTCAGGGTCAGAGGGGAAGAAGGGGCGTGCCTAGTCCACATAAACGAGTGGCAGCCCCGGGTTACTGAGAATCCATGCCAATACATACACCTGCCCTTCTTGAGCCGTACATCAAGCTGTCCTTGGCTCCCCATCACATCTTCGGCGGCAGACGCCAAAATCTTGAATGATTGCATCGGCGTCCAGATCAGGGCGAAGCGACATGTCAGTAAGTTTGTAAAGCCAGACTTATCGGCGTGACCAAATAGTGACTTTCCTAGAACCACCAGTACACAAATATTGCTGTGACAGGCAGCTCAAACACTCATTTCGGCGATAAGCACATTAACAACTACTATGCTGGCGAGCTTGACAGTATGTGACCGCTCTAATCCAATCCCCATGACGTTTGTTCAGATACTGATGGGAAATAGACGCTCGATATCTCAAGGTGGCAAGAGGCGCCGTCTTCGATGACCGGGAAAACGAAAAGGGCCCTTTGTGCCACCCGCATACCAGGAAAAGGCTGCGTGCTAAGATCGCACAATGGGTAGATGATCCCAAGGGAAAATGCATTTTCTGGCTGCGGGGTGCAGCAGGCACAGGGAAGTCTACAATCTCGCGAACGGTTGCGAAAAGCTTCTCCGACAAAGGGAAGCTAGCTGCCAGCTTCTTTTTCAACCGCATCATAGACGACTGCAGGAAAGCCGATCTATTTGTTACGACGATTGCCAATCAGCTTGTCCACAACGTTCATGGATGCCAAGACATTCAAGGACTTGGTGATCTCATCCGGAACGTTGTCCACAAGAATCCAGATCTACTTAGCAAGACTCTGGAGACGCAGTTCGCAGAACTTATTTTGGGGCCTTTCAAACAGCTCAAACCAGTTGGTACTTCGAGAATCACGATGTTGCTGGCAATTGACGCCTTGGACGAATGCGACAATGAAAACTACACTGGCGCTGGTCCTTATTTAGAGCGCACCAGGATGATCGTCGGCCTCCTGGGTGAGCTTGGAAGTGTTACAGGCATCAGAGTACGTGTCTTCATTACCAGCAGGCCAGAATTACCAATCCACTTGGGATTCAAACACGATGTCCCAGAAAGGTTCCACCAGGATGTCGCACTGCACGAAATTTCCCCTTCGGAAATTCAGCAGGACATCAGGGCCTACCTGGAGCATGAGCTTCAGAGGATACAATCACTCTACGATATATCTCCGCCATGGCCGGACACCAATACGACAACAATGTTGGTGCATAGATGCAGCCCCTTGTTTATCTATGCCGCAACTATCTGTAGATTCATGGATAATCGCAGACTCCATCCCAAAACACAATTGAAGAAAATCCTCGATTCGCGCTACAGACCCACGAATACAATGGAAATGACATACGGAACCGTTCTGGACCAACTAGTTTCTGGACTCGATGAGAGCGACTACCAAGACATCCTTATTTAAATTTCGCAGGATTGTCGGCGGCATCATTCTTCTGGCAGATCCGCTGCCTGTCATATCCCTTTCTCGGCTTCTTGATGAGGACGAGGATGAAGTCTTTCTTCATCTCAAAAACCTCCATTCTGTGTTGAGCGTCCCCGACGACCCCGAATCAAATCAGCCCATCAGAGTATTTCATCTGTCCTTTCCCGAGTACCTCTTGGACAGAAGTGGAGAGAGGAGCCACTTCTTTATTGAAGAGCAGCAAAAGCACACCGATCTTTTGGACTGTTGTCTACGAATCATGGCAAACAGAAACCAATATTGCTTGAAGAATGACATCTGCCACCTGGGGGATCCCGGTGTCCTCAGAAAGGAGGTAGCATCTGAGAAGATCCGAGAAAACATCCCGCAACACCTGCGGTACGCCTGCATATACTGGGTGCACCATTTTGAAAAGGCCCATTGCCTCACGAACGAGACTAAGGTCTACGACTTCTTGACCAAATTTTTCGTCCATTGGCTCGAAGCAATGAGCTGGTTGGGTCGCATTGAACAGTCCATTACCGATGTTCACAAGCTACAGGCTCTCTTCCACTCTCCAGGGTCTAAAAATCAAGTTGCGTTGTTTCTTGAAGACGCAAGAAGATTCGTGACGGAACATAAGTACACTATCGACCGAGCCCCCTGCCAAGTTTACGTCTCAGCTTTGCTCTTCTCACCAACCGATTCTATAGTAAAGCAAACCTTTCAGTCCGAAATACCGAATTGGGTTCTCAGAGCGCCCGACACAGCCACAACTTGGGACGTAGCCCAAAGATCGCTGCATAAGTACGGGCCGCATGTGAGAGACATGTGCTACTCGCATGACGGTGTCTATCTTGCCATCGCAACAGATAAAGAAGTCAACGTATGGAATATCGATTCCAACAGCCTTTGTGCGGCCAAAGATGACTTCACGAGCGAAGTCTCATGTGTCGTTTTCAGATCCGCGAATGATGTTGCTGTGGGCCTGGTCACAGGCTCGGTTGTGTTTTGGGACTGGACACATGGCCAGCAATTCATCGAAACCTTGTCAGAATTTTGTGTTGCGTACATGTCTTCATCTGAAAATGGTGGCTTGGTGTGTGGTTTCTGTGATGGAAGAGTGTATCTTTGGAAGCAGGATACCGGCATCTTGCATCGATGGAGAACCTGCTGGCGCTCACTGAAAGACAATTGGGGGGTGCACCCTAGAGGTGCGACTCTACCTGTGACCGGGATTTCTTACTCTGTCGATGGGAAGTTCGTGGCAATCATACGAGACCGGTGTCCCAGCCATGTCGACGTGTATGAAGCCAACTCAGGTTCCCACATGCACGAAATATGTTCTTCGAAGGGAAGCTCATTCGGCAACCTGTTGTTGGCAATTTCTGGACCAAACAAAGAATGGGGATGGGCCGAGTACGAAATAGAGTGCGCTGACAAGATACAGCTCTGGGACTTAAGTACAGACATGGCCGCGCCTGTGAAAGAGGTGTCTCTAATCTCACGTTCTTATTTGAGGCCGGCTACGAATCAATGCAGGACACTATGTCTTCAACGTGGCTTGGAAGCTTTGGAGATCTGGACGGATGAACAGACGCAAAAATCTGATTTGTTTGATCAATCTTGCCTTTCTCCGGATGGAAGACACATTGCGGCATCCAAGTCTGGCCATGTCGTCATTATCGACACGCTTCACCTCCTCCCACACAATGAAGATACAGAACGCTTCCGCCTTTCTCAGCTTCTCGATGAATACCACCTTTGGTCAAAAGCGGCATGTTCACCTGACGGCTCTCGACTGGCAACGATATCTTCACACGGCAGGGTCATTGTCTGGGACTTTACCAATGGACAGGTAGTGCCTAGTCGCCTTGATCCACTCACGCCTTTACTGGAAAAGAAACACCATGACCTAGCTCTCGGCTGGTCCATAGACGGAAACTCGTTAGTTGTGGCGATGCCGGGAGAGCTAATTGTTCATTCTTTCTTACCAGGATATAAGCCGACCAAGATTACATATTCACTGGAGCTTACGACTGATGGGAATATTGACGCGCTCCAAAGCGAAAAATATTTGTGCTGTTCTTCACGGGGGAAATATCTGGCGATGATTAATCACGTTTTCAAAGGGCAATGCGAAATTCTTCTGTGGAAATGGAAGGGTCGCTATCTTCAACATTTCTGGACTAAAAGAATAGTCACACGATCTACCATGGCCACTTGCCTGCCACACTGTCTGACCTTTTCGCCGGATGAAACGTGGCTAGCTTGCTTTACCACGGCACAGTACGACTGGGACTACAGTTTGATGCTCATAAATGTGGAATCAGACAGCATCAAGTGGATAATCAAAATCGACAATTACCGGCGTCCCGCAGTAATTGCGTTTGATCCTACCGGAAGTCGTATCGTGGTCGGCGCTCGTGTCGCTTATCAAGACCGAATAGACGATGGGATGAACGACGAGACGGATGACGAGATGGACGTTGAAGTGGACGCTGAAGTGGATGACGAAGTGGACGATGAGACTGACGAGGAGACTGACGAGGAGACTGACGACGGTATGGATGACGAGTTGAGCGATGCACTGGACAGTGAAGATGATGAAATCGACGACGGTCCCGCAAGAGTCAGTTATGCATTTGTACTCAGCATACATGAAGGGGGCCGTCTCTTACATTCAGAGCCAATTAACGAGTGGGGTACCGAACATGCGAAGTCCCTTTCGGTTGGGTTTATCGGTGCTGCTCCAGTCGTCGTCGAACCTCAATATTGGCTACGTCTGAAACGTATGGCAGAGCAAGATGGCACACCTGCGCCGGCAAACAGCATTTCATGCCATGTGTACGTCCGCAAATTTGGCGAAGATTATTGGATAATGAAAGGTGGCCGGAGAAAGGTTCTCTTGCCAGACGACTGCAAAACTTGGGATCCCGTCGACAATTGGGACAACCTGTCGCATCGTGTTTTCGGCTACAACAGGACCAGAAATAAGCCGTGGCTACTCGAGTTGGACTGCCGTAACTGTATATTTCCGGGCAACGTTCTGGGGATGAAAATCGATGACCAAGGCTAGAACTGGGCTATGATCTATTTAGTAATTAGATGGCAACCTGCATCGGTTCATTGGGCTTCGCCGCCACCCATCAGTAGCATCTGTTCATCAACCCGGAAAGTGGTGGTCAACTGCTTCGTTCGACCATGTGTCATAAGCGGAGCCACCCGGCTGACCGAAAGGGCCAAGAAATGGACCCTGATTGTATGCCGGACAATATTTCCGCTGAAGAACTTCTCCTGATTCCTTGGCTGAAGAAATGCCCTGGCTCCATCAGCTCGGACTGCGCTATGGGACGAAATGGAGCTTGGACTTGCCTAATCAGGCATCTCGGCGCCGAAACCCACGAACTTTCTTCAGCATCACCCCACGAAACCTCGGGAAAGGCCATGATGAAAAGGCGAGGTATTATGTATTTAAGTAATTGAAGTTCGTCTGACCATGCTCCGTCTTGTATCATGATATTGCCGTTCTCGTATTCAAAGATCAATAGTCCAATCCATCTTTCATCGGCTTTCAACGCTTGCCACCACCATGACCGACATCAACTACTATCAGCGCCTCACAGAGGTGTACACCTTAGACAACAAACCACTACTCCTAGCTTCCGCCGTCAGTTATGTCGTCGGTTACCTCCAGTACATGTACGTCATCCGCCTCACACTTCGTGAAGGCAAGGGTCCGATGCCCTTCTGGATGCACTCTTTCTACCTCGCCCACGACTCCACATGGACCTACATTCTCGGCAAAGCGGCCATTAAGTACAACGAGCATTGGTTTCTCAGAGGAACATCGACGGCACTCTTCGTGTGGACGACGCTGGAGATGTGGACTATCCACAGGGCCGTTACCAAGGAACGCGAAGCCAATTTCGCTTCGGTGCTCGGGAGTAATCCGAGCGTCTTCTCGGCGGCGGTCTACGCGCTGGCACTCCAGCTTGGCATGTACACGGTCGTGCTGCTGGGAATCGCGTTTATGGGCGAGGGCTGCGTGATGCAGTGGTTCTGCTTCACCAATGTTCTCATTGTCTTGGGGCCGACCCACCAGTACCTCAGAAACGGATCGAGGCATGGGCTTTCGCTTGGGTTCTGTTTGGTCAATATTGTTGGAACCATTTGGACGTTTGCACCGTTCAGCTTCTTCGTCTTGACGATTCCTGAGTTATTCGACAACACGCTGTATTACGTTGTGGGATGCATTCTTACGATCTACTCGATTGGGTGCTATTTCGTGGTTGCGCAGTATCCGGCCAAGACGGCGGCCATGAGCAAGCCTGGAAAGGGAGCTCCGATTTGGTAAACAAACGGCAGAAGTATGGTCTTGTTGGAAGAATCAAAAGTTCAGTCTCGACTCAATTTAAATAATTTAAAGTAAATATGACAAAGGGTCATTGATATCCCGACGTGATGAGGGTGAATGTGTTGCTGAGCAAGTGAAAATGAATTCCAACTGATGATTCAGGGGCTCCGGATAGCTTTAGTGGGGCACATGCCTTATATAAGCCAGCCCGGGCCCATGCATGACGCAGGGCGTCCCGCCGAGGGGTCCAGCCGTGGCTGCTCCGACCGCCTCTCACTGCACCCCGCACTAAGCTCAGCTAAGCTCTCCTACGCGGCGCACAACCACCACTGCAACCACAACCCGACCTCTTTGGACGACCTCGGCCGATCTACTTACGCGGACGCGTTCCAACCCTCGACCCTTCTTCCGCACATCGCGCCTCTCGAGGCCGCCGAGCCCTTCCCTTCCAATGCCACCCATACCGCGAACCACGCCCCTCCCCCGCGTCATCACCTACTACCAGACACACCACACCCCCGATGGCAAGCCGATTTCCATCCTCCCGCTCATCACGCAGCCCGACATCAGCGTAACCCACGTGATCCTCGCCGCGATACACATCAACGACGACCCGCACGCCCTCACCCTCAACGACCACCGACCCGACGACCCGCGCTTCCTGACGCTATGGGCAGAGCTGCGTGTGCTGCAGGCGAGCGGGGTGAAGGTGCTGGGCATGCTTGGAGGCGCTGCTCGCGGCTCGTATGAGAGGCTCGACGGCGATGACGAGGCCAAGTTTGAGAAGTACTACATCCCGCTGCGCGACATGGTGCGGAAACACGCTCTCGACGGCATCGATTTGGATGTGGAGGAGGAGATGAGCTTGGGCGGTGTGATACGCTTGATCGACCGGATACGGCAAGACTTTGGGAAGGACTTTATCATCACCATGGCACCCGTGGCTATGGCGTTGCTCGACCCGTTCAAGAACCTGAGCGGCTTCGACTACGAGGCGCTGGAGGTTATGCGCGGGAAGGAGATCGCGTGGTACAATGCCCAGTTCTACTGCGGATGGGGCGACTGCAGTAACCCCGTCATGTACGAGATGCTGCTGGCGAAGGGCTGGGCGCCGGAGAAGATCGTCATCGGCCTGGTGACAAATCCGGAGAACGGCGGCGGCTGGGTGCCGTGGGAGATGCTGGGGTCCGTACTCCTTCTGCTCCGAGGCCGTTATGAGCGGTTCGGAGGTGTTATGGGCTGGGAGTACTTCAACAGCTTGCCCGGCGGAAGGGAGAAGCCATGGGAGTGGGCCCAGTGGATGACGACGATGCTGCGATCAGAGAAGGCTTCCTCATGGCCGGCGCATGGAGTTTTGCCGGTGGAAACAAGTGAGATTGCCAAGGTGGTCAAGAAGGAGCTCGTCGATGAGGTCGACCCCGATGGACCCAACAGCAAGGATGCGCCGCTGCCAGCGAGCTTTGACTACTATTCAGACACCAACCTCGACGATGATTGAGCGGATCGAAGACAGGCATGGTAAGAAATCAATCTCGGATCCTTGGGCAGGGCGAAAAGTTTGGAGTACGATGCACTCGCAGGGAAAGGCATGACCTATTGACGAATCGAGAATCACGCGAAGACGATTGGGTTTCACGAACTTTTGGGCGTTCAGGTTGTTCCATCCACTTTCAGTTTCAAACTCAATTATACTTATATAGATGGAAGAAGACGAGCTTGGTCTGTTCAAGCGAACTTTGCTACTCGATTGCCACATAACGAAAACGAACAAACAATTTGTATTCGACCTCGCGACCTTCCCGGAAAAGTTGACTTTAAAAGTGGGGCTTGTACATGTACAAGTCGAAGGTGAGAATATTTTGACCAAACATCGCTGGTCATACTAAAATGGGTGAGCAAAAATGAAAAAAACAATAAGCACCTTCTGGAGTTATGTAGGGTCACCGAATTTCTCAACTAGCCGAACCCAGGCTTTCACTCAACTCCCACACTAGACCATGTTCACTTGAGCTGCTCCAATTGTTGAGAGGAAGGGAATCTACCTTGCCCATAAAGGCTTGAGCGTTCGAGGAAGGGAGCCGCCTGAATCCCACGCATGCACCTGCCGCACTCAATTCGTCATTTTATGATGCCAGAATTGAAGTTATTCGCAGATGATAGTCGCGCCGACTATTTGCAGCTAGGTTCTCCTAAGCTTTCCATCCTTGCTCATGCGTTTCCCATAACCGTCGTCGTCGTCGTCGTCGCTATTGCTATCGCTATCTTTTGCAGGATATTCACATATTATCCCAAAGCGCTGTCTGGTTGAAGTAAATGGCAAGTGCTGCTGGAAGTGAACAAGTCCCGAACTCGTTGTAATGCTCATGGAAACTTGCGATGTGATGCAGGTATCTGATCGCAGCATTCGTGGATATACGATCAATCCCACGCGCCTGGACTTCAGGTGATGCTCACTATTCACTTGCATTGGACAGATCTTGCTCGGAAACTTCTTCGTATTCTTCTATCAAGAAATGTTATTCTGGCACCCGAAGACGTAATAAATCCGTCCTTGAACACGACTCGCGTTGACGATGACCTCATCCCCCTGATCTACTCACCACACCATGTCTCATGTCTCATTTCTCGTCCCAAATGATCAAGGAATCACGCCAGTACACCTATCGCCATACTGCAACAACATGGCCATAATCATAGCTATCTAATCACAACATACCGTAAGCGACATATAGCGGTCCACCAACTTGATCAGAAATCTAGTCTTGGTGGTAGACCCCGAAAGCCCAGCATCCGCCGGTCCATCGGCTTGCAGGTACAGTTGCCGAGCAGCGACGAAGTACTGATGCAGCCTATCACACGCTTCATCCGAGAGAGGGGCCATCGAGAAGGTTTCCAAGGCGCCGCCGGTGACCCCGTCCCGGCGGATGGTCTGCGCAACCTCGGAAAAGTACTTGCTTTGAAGGTCTTCTCCATGATAGTCGATGATGCCGAAGACTCGTGTCTGGTAGTCGATGGCGGCAAAGAGGGCATGCGCGAAGGCGTGGATGCGAGGGATGTCGATGCGGGCCTGTCCGTGGAGACGCAGCGTGCTGCTGATATTGCTGACTACCGTGTCTGTGAGGATGTTTGCGATAGTGTTTTCGTCAGGGTGAGTGAAGCCCTCCGGCAAGGCGAGCTCAAGGGTCTCAATGAAGGTGCTTTTAGACATGACTCTCGTGGACGGTTGGTTGTCTGCGATGTTCGGGTCAGCAACAATTATCCCGAGCATGACAGGATGCGTACATCTTCGATGCTGCTTGTCTTGCTTCTTCGCCTGGGCCTTTTGGATTCCGCCGTATGTCTTGGGCTTCTTGCGTTCTCTAGTGGTCTGAGACCTCCGATGCCCGGGTTTCTTGGTTTCCCTGTTCTTTGGGGTGGGGACATCAGGCTGCGGTTGTGTAATGTTCGGAAGAGCTGCCTCGAGATCGGCCTTCAGATTGAAGAGGGACGCCATGTTGTGTGTCTGAAAGATTGTTCGGTCTTGTTGTTGCAATGAAGAAGTTGAGAGAATGATGGGATGATGGGAGGTCGGAGAGTCCATAGTTTTGTAGAAATAAATGAATCTTTCTCAGACGCGTGGGTCGCGCGATAAGATGGTAAACGTGAGAGTTTGGTAAAGTAAACAGTGACCTTGAGGTGGGTGCGAATATCTCAGCCCAGCAAGGTCAAATCGCCGCACCTTCCCTAGCTTTCTCCGTCAAATCCGTAAGTAGCTGATCACAATTTCAAACGGAGAAACATTTCGCACTTCAGACACGCAACATGGAATAAATTTGCTTTTCAGTGGCATTTTCTTTCGTTATGGTTGACAAAGGGACTGGCCGCGTTGTATTCATCGTCTACAACCCTGATACTCCTTTGGTGCAACTGCCATTTCCTTGATGCCACTGCCTTGGAATGCTTAGATGCCAACTTCGTTCATATTCTCAACCAAGCCATCCTCCATCTCCTCGTCCTCCTTCGAAAACTCCAGCCAAGCATCAAGGATACGGAGAAGGTCTCTTGTCTTCGCGGTGTAGGTTCCCTCCTGCGAGTTCTTCGGGAAAGAAAGAAAGTAGTCCTCGCGAGCCTTGACAAAGCTCTCGAGCATCACCTTGCAGGTGTTCGTAGAAATGGCCTCCATGGAGAAGTCCTTGGCGTTGAGACCGCCGCCGGCAACGCCCTTGGTACGCACATGCTGGGCGATGGCTTCGAAGAACTCGGAGTTGTCGTCGGAGCCCTTCTTATACTTGCCGCGGCATTCCTTGACGGCCTTGACGAGCGAAAGCATGAAGCCCATGAGGCGGGCGGCGTCGCGAGACTGGGTGCCCTGGAGGTGAAGGACAGCGCACAGGTTCTCAGCCTCCTCATTCTCGATCCAGTTGGCGATGTCGTCGATTGGGAAGTAGAAGCCATTCTCAAAGCCGGTCTGGAGGGTGTGCATGAGGTTGGCCATGGCCTTGACGAGCTTGGCGTCGCCGCGGATGGACTCGGAAGCTTTGTCGGGAAGAGCAGCCTTCGCTATGTCTTTGTTAGATATTTACGATCGGATGGAATGAGTAAAGAAAACATACTTCCTCTCAGCACGCGCTTGCGCTCGCGGTTCCTCTGCTGTCTGTTGGCGAGACGGTCTGCGAGATACTTGTTCTTGCGCATCATGCTATGAAGCTTGCGCTTGTTGGCGGGTGCGTTATCGTCATTGTGATCACTTGCAGTGCCATTGACCGGACCGGTATCTTGGCTGACGGCGGGCAAGGCAGGCTCGAGATCCTCCTTCAGGTTGAAGGGCGCAGACATCGTGGCTGGAATTCGCAGAGGGATGCAAAGAAGCCGATGGCTAGGAGGGTGGTGATGGCGACAGCAACGAGCAAAGAGTCGGCTGGAGTGAGCTGCAGAAGCAAGGTTTCCTACAAAGGGAAAGAGCGAGGAAATGGAAAATCGGGACGCGTTGTTTACGCGTCTGCTGTATTGTCGGGGGCGAAGGTGAGGTGCTGAGCGAATGCTGAAAGACAGTGAGCCGCTCCCAGTCACCGAAAAAAGGTTCATGAGTACCGTAATTCCCAGACCTCTCAACAAATCAAGCACTCCAAGTGAACATGGTCTAGTGGTGGAACGTGCAAGCCTGGGTTCGGCTGGAAATTGGTATTGGTGACCCTACATAACTCCAGGAGCTGCGCGATTGTTTTTTGCTTCTTTTTTCATTTTTGATAACGATGAGAAGTTTGTTCTCTATCGAAAACTTGCCTCGAAACTCTTTTCTGGGCGATGGTGGTTGTTTTTGAACTCGCGATCCACGGGAATCATTTTCGTTTTGGGAAAACCACCACCTGTGAAGCTGATGATGTCGGTCACGTTCAACCCCTTTTCCTTTGACAGTAAGAAATCCATTCAGCACACTGTATTGAAATCGAGGGAAATTCGTTGTGACAAGGCCGAAATAATCCAGTTCGGTGAGAATATTATCATTCGATAATAGTAACTCCTTTCTTCCCCGACTCTGCACTATTTCAACTTGTACATCCCACATACCTTCTGGTATGCCTCCCATTCTCCATCCGAAAGGCCGGGGGGCCGTGAATGCGTTAGATTTGGACTGAATCCCGTCCCCTTGCCGCGTCGGCCCTTCGTGTTACCACGTCTTTGATCACTCTCGTCATCTTCACTATCCGTCTCCGATTCCGACTCTTCGGTACTACTATCTTGGCCAGAGGCAGGCACCTTTCTAGCAGATGAACGAACATAGGCCGGACGCTGCTCGGTAGTCAGAGGAACTACTTGAGGCGGCATCTGTGTGTATGCAGGTATGGTAGTGTAAGGGTCGGCTCTCCAACGATCCCTATTAGCCCATTCGGCCTCGGAAGCACCCATCGCACTAACGAGGTACTCGTCGAACTTCGCGTACCCTTCCGCCACAATCTTGAATTGCTCTTCACCGAGGATAGGCACCGGTTCTCCGTCGATTCGTTTCTTGGCCTTGTGTTCGGCTAAAGCAATGGCTGTCTGAAAGGCATTTCGGATTTGCCTATGATTTCCCGTCAGTTCATTCCAAAATCTTTCGAAGTGTCTTCTCGGTTGGGGACAAGATACTTACCTGCCATTCCATGTATCGCGGCCGTTCTTCTCGAGATCTCTGAAATGCTCTTTGGCAAAGTCCATGATTTCAGATTTCTTGATCTCGAATTCAACGTGACCTCTAGATCTTTGCTCATCCTTGGCGCGTTTGATGAACTTTCGGTAGAGTTCCTTGGTGACCTTGAGATTCAGCTTGGGATAAAATAGTGACACCTGGATGCGAGATTTGAATGCGGGATCCATCGTCCCCACGCGGTTTGTCGTGAGAAACAAGATGCCAGCGTAGTATTCGAGGGTCCGGAGAAAGACACTTGTAACAGCGTTGTGGCGCAGGTCGCTTCTCGTTCGCTTGGCCAAGAATACGTCGGCTTCATCGAGGAGAAGCACGCAGCCCCATTTGTGAGCCAACTGAAAGTTGTACTGCAAGTTCTTCTCCACTTCGAGAGCTGTCTCGCCGATGTCACCGCAGGTGATTGGGAAGAGAGGGCGCTTCGTATCATCCGCGACGCACTCGGCGGTTGAGGTTTTGCCGACACCAGGTGGTCCGTGGAGTAGAATCACGAGTCCAGCTCCTTTTCCCTTGACGAGGTCCAGGCAAGATCCTATACTGAGGGGATTACTAGTGCGAGACTCCGAGAACCGCGTTGCTCGCAGGGATTCATGGGTGTCGACCAGCGCACGCACTGTTTTGCTGTGATTGTCGGGCAGAACCAGGTCGTCGAAGCTGTTGGAGAACTCCACATCGCTGAGTCTATCGGTCGGTACAGTAACCCATTGCCGCGATCGTAACACAAATGCATGGACGTAATGTTGCATCAACATGAGGTCATCCTCAGTTAAGTCCTTTTCGTGTCGTGGTCCGAGATACCGAGACATCTCACCCAAAAAGATCTGAGAATTGAACTCATCAATATCTCCGTCTCTGTGAATCACATCTCCTCCACAACAACCTTGTGTAGTTCCATGCTTACACCATGAGTCTTGCCGGGTCTCTCGTGGGTCTGGCCGTGTGAAGCTATCCGTCGAAACAGAAGACTTTAGTAGCCAATCGGGATTTTGTGCGACGGCCAAGGCCATGTCAACGATGACCTGTGCCTCCAAGTCGTGTGATAAGTCATCCAGGGTCCTGCCTTTGAACATCTTGTGGCAAAAGGGGCGGTTTGTCAAGGCGACAAACCGTTTACCCCCATCGACGAACGTCTTTCGTAGCGTGTCATAGTTCTTGTCGAATCTCATGGGATGAACCGGCAGTGAGGTGATTGGCTTCCTTCCGAAAAACTTCTTGATGGACATTCTCTTGATCTTCGGCACGTACATATGCCCATTGCTAGCCATGCTAATGCAGTCCAACACAAATCCATCGACACGGATTGGCTTTTCCTCATTGCCGAATTTGCGATAGCTCAGGGGTTCTCTGCCACCAGCCATGCTGAAAACCCGATAAGCATGATGTTGCTCTTCTTGGGGAACAACAAAGTCCCCTCGTTTGAAAAGATGCCAGAGATCGGCGTATTCAATATCTGTTGCTGTTCCGTCTGCAATCTGCTGTCGCAGGAGCATCGTGGGCTTGAGATCCGTGTCGAGAAATTCGACTAGACACTCCAGATCTGGTAGGAGATCCTTGTATAAGTACATCTGCTGCAACTTCTTCCCTTTATGCCGTTTAGGGAGCTGTTCAAGGACCTGGGATGGTATAGCCTTCTTTGCTTCCTCAGCTTCTGCAGCTGATTTCACGGCTTGGACGCTGCCCTTGATATCATCTATGTGCCCCACGAAGAATTTGAATGGACGCAGGAAAACAATACTGTTGTAAACCTCAATATTTCCCACGACTTGTGGGGGCGACGTCTGAATCATCAGAGAAGCTCCGACCAGCTTATCGAGGTGCGAAAGAAGAGCGCGAGATCGGATGCGCAGCCGCTCAGGGGAAGATGAATATTCCACACCCGCTGAGGAAACGTTCTCGGAAATTTGAACCTCAAGAGCTGCTTTCTCGTTCGTGGGCAATGCGACATTGTTTTTCGTAAGACGAAACTGGTCGAAGGGCACTCTCAGGAGTTGATGGCGGTGGACTGGATACATCTCGTCTGGGGTCGGTGGCTCCCACACGGTATCAGCGCCGTTGATAAAGGCTCTTAAGTCTTTGACTTGCTTTTCAAGCTCTTCGATCCGCATGTGTGTGAAAGTATGGTCCAGCACTGCCTGTTGGGCTCGGACTCCGAAGCGACCCATCTGTTTCTCTCTATCGAAAAGCTGCTTTCCGAGAGTCTTATGCTGTAGATGAGCGACATGTTGACTTAGGACTGCCTTCGACTCCGTAGGTCCATCCGCTGGCTTAGGTTTGCTTGGCTGGCCACGGGACTGAGCAGTCGCCGCATCTTCGCTCGGTTTTGCCGGCTCGATCTTATCAGTACTTGAAGGATGATCTTCCTTGTCTTTTGTCTCGCCCTTTGAAACCAGCTGGCTCAGAATGGCTTTTTCGCCAGTATTGTCGGTTGTCGGGGGAGTTGGAGGAGTTGGATGGGGCCATAGCAAGATGTCTCCCCCGCGGTTGAATGATTGGGGGGCTTCAGGCGGCATGCTGACATTTATGGCTCAACTGTCTGGGCAGAAAATCCGAAGACTGGACAGAATATCCAGAGAGATATTCAGACGTTAAAAGATGGTGTGAAATGTGCACTTGAAAGCCAGCCAACGGTGCCTGATTGGTTTTAAACCAAGGTCGCCAAACCTGGAAAAGCCTGAAATGACCAATGATGTTCTTTTGCGCCGTAGCATAGGATACCCGACATGCGCAGGAACCGGGACTGCGCCGCCTACGACGATACATGATTTCTTGGTTGGTGAGCAATTTTCGCAGTGAATACCCACTCTTGCGCATGGTCTGCCGCAGCACACATTCGCTTCGAGTACCAACAGTGCTTACTGAGGGGCTATTACCCCTGGCTAACAAGTAGGGCCTTCCAACAGCCAACACATGGTCCGTCGTAATTGGGTATTTTCAGCAGCTGGTCCGTATCCAGGTCCACTTGACATGCAGATGTTGCTGCAGTCTTTACCTATCTTGGCGGTTGAGAATCGCAAGCAGATGGCCTACCCTGTTCACCACACAAACCCCTCATATGAAGCAGAACACTCGCTGAATGTCACCGGACTTCACATAGAAGTATGTCGATGATGTAGAAGAGCACCCTAAGTCAATCCTTCGTCTAGTAAATAATACGCGTCCGTCCCGCAATGGCGAGCCTAGACCGATCTACATTTCTGGCCTCAAGGGAACGACAGCCCTCAAGCTCACCCATTAGATTCATAGAGAACCATGTGTGTATCCCAGGAGAGCCCGACCCTGTACACAGCCCTTGGGCCGGACGACTGGTCTCTCATACCGAAGCTGAGCATGGCGATGATCAAAGGTTTGCAATACAACGCGAATTGACACCAACAGTTCTGATCCGGTTGATTGCAGAAGTGCGCTGTGGAAGCAAGCCGATGACGAGATAGCGCAGCTCTTCAAGCTGATGTCGGAAGTGAGGTCGAAGCTGGCACGGAAAGAGAGCGGAAACCAGCCAATTACGAGATCATTGAGCCACCGTGGGTGTAGTTGGGACGACGTTGTAGAGGAAATCCAAGCCACAGCTCAGAGATGGAAACAAAGAACCGGTAAGGTAGGGAAGTCAATGGAATTCATCAACAAGATTGGCAATCACTCTGAGGCTCTGACCGCATGGCTTGGTCTTCTGCCAACTGGCGACTATGGATCTAGGTAAGAAACATGTGACGTCTAAACAGGGTTGGGGCATCATTTTACTCACATCTCTGGAATAGTATCTGTGGAGTGTTCAAGTTAATTATAGGGGTAAGGCATCATTTTCAGAGAAATCGCCGTGAATAGAAAGTCACTAAAGAGACGTTTGTGCAGGCTACGGCAAACTACAGTAAAGTTGAGGAGGATATTTTCCAGGCGCTTTCGGAGATACCGGATGTGATGGAATCAACGAGACGATACGTCGCAATATGGACGCAACGTAACCAGCATTTTGAGCGACTGGTCTTCAATCTCTATCGCGCCACACTAAAGTCATTGCGCCAAATCATGCAGTTTTTCGCGGACAGCAGACTCAGTGAGATCTCGCAGCCCCCCCTCCCCTGCTTCTATCATAGAGCATCATTCGTGCTGATCATAATTAGGCAAGGTCTTAGGTGCTGTTATCAAACAAAAAGACTTTAAAATGGATCTTTCAATGAGCTTGAGAGAAATGCGGCAATGTGCTGAGAACATCGGAAAGGAGGGGCAACTGTACAACGCCGAAGAGACCCACGACACTTTTCTCATGGGAGAGCGAACCGAGCTGGTGGTGAACAAAATATTGCAGTTCCTTGAAACACATCCGCTGCTGCAGGTGAACACTGCAGAGCTGCGTAAGTGATGACCGAAGCATGGCCGCGGGGGCTTTCTCGCCGCCAACAACCCCTTTGCCGTGTACTCTGTCCTTGCTAAAGCCGCGTGATACTTCAGGCACCATGAAGGCCGCCCTCGAGCCCATTAGTCAGTACGATCTGGCGAATGTTCATCGCACATCTTCAGACGATAGCTTGAGACTCTTTGAGCTGCAGCAGCTAGCAGACGAGAAAGCCCAGAAAGACCGCCAGGAGAAGGCGGCCGCGGATAGAGAGGCCTTGCTGCAACTAATTCGATTCGACCCAGGAGTTGTCCAGCAGGACATCCTGAGATGTGCCCAGTCTGGGTACATCATGAATGATGAACAGAAGTCGAGAGCTGCGGCGATGATTCGAAACGAAACGTTCAAGTCATTTCTGCGAGATGCACATTCATCGAGAAGCCTGCTCGTCAACGGCAATGAAGACACTGCTCGTGCGGATGGAATTTCCCCTTTCAGTCTCGTTGCTGCCGAGTTGTCGCGGCTGTCTGATAGTGCAGGCGCTGCGGACGCCCCGGTCTTTGTCCTGAACTACTTCTGCGCAGAGCATTGTCCTCGTCCTCTGTTTCCGTCATTGGAGGCATCGGCCGCAGGGTTGATGGTTAGTCTGATAGGCCAGCTTGTCAGCCAAATGAAAGATAAAGGGATGACAGTCGACCTTTCATTCATGGCAGAGAAGAATTGGCGACGGCTTGAAAGATTTGACGTCAAAGCACTTTGCAATCTTTTCAAGAAGCTGACGAAGCAGTTGCCGCCCGGGGCAATGCTCCTGTGTATTCTTGACGAGGTCTACTTGTATGAGTCGAGAGAAAACGTGGAATATGTTGTGTGGTTTCTAGCCGGTCTCGCTGAAAAGCAAAGATACAGTAGGGCGGCTTTTAAGCTGCTGGTAGCATGCAGAATCCGAGCTATGGGGTTTGCGAAATATTTTGTCCAGAACACGGTGGATTTGGACGATGATGTTGAAGTAGATGATGCGGCCGACTGGGAGATACAAAGAATGACAGTTTAAAATGGATTATCTGAGGAGTTATATAATTATGTCTGGCGCTAATACCAGTTGTTATTGTCACTGAATTGGCGTCATTCAACATGTTGGTTCTGTGGTCGAATAACCGATAAGAGGCCTTTCTCGGTGAGTTCTCTCGGTCAACCTCCTCACCGAGAACCTCGCGTAGAAATAGTGGGTCTGTCTCAACTCGACCCCCGTTCAATCTTCTTGAAACGACCTTCTCCTCGATGTCATCAATATCAGCCACGAGATCCAAAAGCATATCTTAATTGCAAAAGTATTGCACTATGATAGCATTCAATATCATGCCGACCAGCCGGATTCATTCACGCCTTACACCTCGGCAGCACGCGCCAATGCCCGGACGCCTGTTGCGCCGATCACCCGAGCTGTCATGTCGATCCCAACTTATGCCTCAGCAAACCGAGCATCACGAGAGTCTGGCCAAACGAAAGGGAGCCACTGGCATCGCAGCGACTGGTGCGAAATCCGATCAAGGTTTACCGCCAAATGGGCAAGTGCCGACAACCCCTTCGAATACGATGTCGCAGCGACAGGGTTGCGGGAGCGTGGCACCATCCCGTCGGCCTGATCTTCCGTTAAGTTCGGACGACCACCGCTTCCCATTCCGGGGTGAGGTTGCTTCGAGCGCCCTCGCTTGCCGCTGGCGCCTTTGGCATTGCGGCCCCCTTTAAGGATGACAGCGTGTGACGAGGTCGTCAATACGGGAGCAACGGCGTTTACACGAAGGGCATTCTAAGTTTAGCGCCCTGGATCGCCATGGGGGCCCCTGCGTCGGAGTGTTTCGCCTCTTTCCAGAATTGATGTTTCAAGCCAATTGTCGTTGGTGGAAATCCTGCTGGTGTGGAGGTCAGTTCATCTATCTCGAGGGTCTTGCGGGGCATCAGACAGGGTCGTGAGGCCGAGCTAGCTCTGGTCCATCAGCCGACTGCCATCAACTCGACGCCCAGACAAGAGCCCGGAGAGCTATTTGGGTATTTGAAGTGCGCAATGTCCCGGGTGTTCGTCTGGTCTGTTGGACGCTTCTTCCAACCTCAACCCTCCATTCTCATCGTTCAATTGCCAAGATGGTCTGGTTCAACCAAGCAGCCCTCCTCCTCAGCAGCGCGCTGCTCGTGGCCGACGTGCTCCCCGTCGGGGCCGTGCGGACCATCATTCCCAAGACGAGCTTCGACTCGCAGTCCAACTTCGACGCCGACTGGAACTACCTCTACCCCTGGGGCAGCGACCACAACGGCGGCGCGCGCATGACCAAGGACAACGTCAATTTTAGCGGCGGCACGCTCACCCTCACGGCGAACAAGGTCAGCGGCCAGAAGCCGGCGACGCACGGCGGCCAGCAGATTGCTATCAACTACCTCAGCGGCGCGATCCACGCCAAGGAGCACTTCAACGTGTCCAAGGGCGGCGGCTACGATTTTTCCGCCGAGCTCAAGGCGACCACGACCAAGGGCACATGGCCCGCCTTCTGGCTGACGGCCGTGCAGGGCTGGCCGCCCGAGATTGACATGGCCGAGTGGAAGGGCAGCGGCAAGATCAGCTTCAACACCTTCAACACGAGCTCGATCGTGACGGCCAAGGACGTCAACTACCCGAGCCCCGGCAACTTCCACAGCATCAAGGTTGAGACGAGAGATCTCAACGGCAAGGACGTGCAGGCCAAGTTCTACATGGACGGCAACCTCATCACGACGCAAGTCGGTGCTGGATATTTCGGAAAGCCGATGTACCTGTGAGTTTGATGCCTGATGCCGGATATCCGGTGGGAAAGTTTGAGGGTGATTACTGACTTGAAATGAAGGATTATCAACTTGCAAATGGAGGGCTCTTCCGGCTCGCCCGGCCCAAGTGGGAGTCAGTGAATAAGCTTTCTGTCAACTTAAATTGCGACGATGCTAACGAGTCGTGTAGGCACCGAGTTCCAGGTGCGCAACCTCGAGGTCCTCAGCTACAACCCGTGATATGACGAAATACGGGCATGAGAGCGTGTTTTTGAATTGTTCATATATGGATTCCCACTGTATTTACTTCGATACGGGGCCATCGCGTCCCACGTACATATCTCCCTGCGTCACGGCGCATTGCATGACCAAAGAATTTCGACTTCAAACTTCGAATTTGGTTCCTGATTAAAGCGCTTTCGATGTGCCTGCCGCCCTACTGACTCGAGTCCTTCGTGAGAACTCTCCTCGCCCAGCCATGATCCTTCCTCGAGGGTCGCTTATCGGCAGGGAGCTCCCGCATCCACGTGTCACGGATATCTGCAAGCATGGTCTTCTGCTCCTAGCACTCGGATAAGATTAGTTATCACGTGTAGGAAGGTTCAACATACCATACTGAGGGGGTGCTCGACTGGCGTCAGGATAATGAATTGCTCGTGAAAGGGGTTCTGTTCAAGTGAAGGTCAGCCCCAGACGACAAATCTGACTTCTCACTCACCCAGCTGACTGTCAAGTCTTGTCGGGGACCATGCTGGCGGATCGCATCTAGAATTTCTGTAACCTTGTCAGCGTAGTCTTGAGGGTTAGTCTTCCCTTTTTCCGAGAACTCCAGACAGAATGTCTCGCAGCAGAGTGGCTTTCCCATGGCTGCGACTGATTTCCTTGGAAAGGCTGAAATGTCTGGAGATAATTCTGCTTTCAATATCTGATACTTCCGAATTTGTGGCTGGTTTATGATGCTGGGCCAAACGCTGGCCATGGAAGACTGTAGCTGTGATTCATAGAGTGTTCCTTGGACTCATGGCATGTTCACTTTTGAAGACCTCTGAGTGAATGTTTGAGTTTTTCCAACCTATGTGGTCGAATACATGTGGCTGAAAATGACAGCGGAATCTGACTACAAAGCTGCTGTGCCAACATGGCCGACAAGCACCTTGATAAGTCACCAAAAAGGCTCCTTTCAAGGGGTCTTCCATTAGAGAAAATAAGAAGCAAGTTTATTTGTCTGAATGCAGCTCCCTTACACAATGTCAAAGGAGAAGTCTAGGTACAGCAAAGGGAAGGAAAGCAATCATTCACTTCAGTGGCTTGCGTTGCACAAAATAGGCAGCTACATGAGCTGTGCATAAAGAAGCTCTGTGCACAAGGTGGTGCAGCTTACCTAAGACCTGCCACCTCTCTGAGCACATGACCTGGTGTCTGTTTCGCGTCCAGCCATCTCAGTCGGGTTCTCTCCCCTGTCACTTTTCCACCCGCCCCCGCCAGTCTTTCTCGCGCCTCTTTCTCGTCAGATTCACTCTCCCAGCCTTGACCGACGATGCGAAACGACAATGACGCGCTCTAAAACCCTCGCAGCCGCTGAGAAGAAGGCCCTCGAGGGCAAGAACGAATCGCAAGACAGCCAGTATGTCCTGGACCAATACAGGGTCGTGTATGGGATCGGCGTGGTACGTAGGGCCATTTTTGCTTTTTCCTGTGGCGTTCCTCCAAGTGGAGGCGCTTTCTGCCCGCCCTGGACGTGTTTTGGGGCATTGCTGCCACTGGATTGATTGCAACATTTGCTAGCACTGCGACGATGCAGGCATTGCTGCGACCATGCGCTAACTGATTCGGGCGCCAATACAGACAAGCAGTTCGCCGCCGAGGCCATCAACATTATCGCGAAAAAACAGTCGAGAGAGCAGAAGGCGTCGCGACTCGCCTTCGACTTTCCATCCTGATCCTCCGAGCAAAGCGACCGGTCAGCCCATTTCCCAATCGGTACTGAGCAGCGCGCCTCCAGCGACTGGAACCGGAAACACGGTGGGTGATTGTTCCCCCACCTGGGAAACAGGGATTCCTTGCCGGGATGGCACTGACCAAGACAGCTACCCCAGCAGGACTTTATTCGCGAGGGCCTATCGGTCGCGTCACTTCCCGCTGCCGCCGCTACGGATGCCGGAGGCCAAGATCGCGGCCCAGATCCCCAAACAACATCCTTTGCCTCAGCTCCGCCAGGGCCGTCCGACGCGACAAATTTTGTCAAGCCGCCGTTGGCCCCGATCCGCGACGACGATGCGATAGATCCTCAAACCGAACCCACCCCCGCACCATGCGCCCTCGACGAAACATCTCGGCAGCCGAAGAAAGTCAATGTCTCGTCTCGATCATCGCGCTCCGTGTCTCGCAAAAAAGCCAAGATGGACGTGTCACAGCAGTCGCCGACTCAAGATAACGACGAACGAGATTACCAGAACTACTACGATGGCCCGTCCTTCGTCGAGACCAGCCCCATCTCACAAGACGCCGTGACCCAGAGTTGTCCTCCCCACGACGAAGATTCGGGCCCTGTGAACTTTGGCAACCTCAGCCACCTGATCCAGGAAGAGACGCAGCCGGAGGAAGAACCTTCATCGATACCCGACGATGTCAATCTGGCTACGGGCCGAGGGGCCTGGCGCAGGTCCAGCTCCCAACAACACTCCTCCGTCCAACGAACCGATATCGACTCTCCTCTACCCAACACAGCGCAGCCGCCACAGACACCCGCCAATAACCCCTTCGCGGGCATTAAGAAGCTCGGTGACCCTGCCTTGGTAGGATCGCAATTATTTGGCCAAACCCAGTTTTCGTCAGCCGTCAAGCGATTCAGCCCTACTTCCTCGAGACCGTCTCCGCACGTGTACGCCCACAACTCCATCTCGCCAAACGTCGCTGAGACGTCGCCGCTTAAGAATCGGTATAACATAGCGTCTTCTATGCCTCCTTCGAGCCCGCAGATTACTAGGACTGAGTCGCTGGATCGCCAGGAACGCAGCCCGAGTGTTGGTCAACCCGATGATGGCACGGTGCCCGAATCACCACAATATGCACCGGCCAACACACGAGTGCGACCGGAGCCCCAGGAAGAATACAAGAGTGCGAAGGAGCCGCATAGAAGAAGGCTCAGCAATGAAGCCGAGGACGTGATGTCTGGGGACGATACGGATGATTTTGGGGATGATTTGGACGATGCCTTGAGACGCAGAAGACTCGTTGCACAGAAGCAAGAAGCAGCGTCGAAACAGCTTGCCAATATCAGTGTTGGACGCCGCAGTGAGCGCCGTTCCGTCGAGGTGCCTTCAATAACTAAGAGACCAAGAGCCAACCGGGCAGGACGATACCGCGGACGTCGTGTTGCGACTACATCAGACGACGACGCGGACGAGTTTACTGTTGCTGATTCTCAGGGACAAGAAGCCCAGCGGACGCGTTCACGGGCATCGCCTGATCTTGGTAACGGCAAACCGGGAATCGTGTCGAGTAACGAAAAAGTTCCTGACAGTACAGGCGCCACCCAGAAGTCCAATACAGCTGGCGCAGCCCCGGAAACTGAGAGCTCGGGCAATAGCTCGCGCCCCAAGGACGTTATTCCCGAAACGAGCCCTACCAACACGCAGTCGCATCCTGAGCCTGTGGTTATAGCATCATCTGATCAGCCCTTGGCGAAACGCCATGCTGAGCCTGTCGAGGAACCGGAAGTCCCTGCGGAAACCGCCAGTCAAGACACAGGAGCACCCCAAGAGGTAGAGGACGAGGTTGAGAGAAAGACGGAAGAGGTTGTGGCAGAAGTTGAACCAGCCAAAGAGCCCGACACCGAGCTATCAGAGCCTGCGCCTGTGCAACCTTCGCGCAGGTCTGGCCGCAAACCCCGACCAACACCAAAGGCTCAATCATTGAAGAGCACAGCACGTGCAGCTGCATCTGTGGAGTCTACTAACACTGAGACTTGCGAGGGTCGCAACTCGGGAGAAGGCACTGCTCAGCATGCCATAGTCCCTGCTGAGGAGCCGATTATGGCGCAAGACGCAGTCACTAAGGAGGAGGCACCTGCTCCAGCAGATGTCCTCGCTGTTGAGGACCAACCTGCTCTTCCATCTTCCCCTCCCATTCCCAAGACTCGGTCCAAGAACAACACGTCTCCAGCCATCATTAGCCAGAACAAACCAACAGAGAATACTCCCGCAACGCCAGATACCCATCAATCACCGACTGCTGCTGAGCCTCCCGGGTCGACCTCGACGTTGAGTGATCTCACAGCTACGCCAGCACCATCGGACAAGACCTCTCCGGCTACCCAAGAATCCGTCGAGCTTCCGCCGCTTTCCCCCGAAAAGCCGACACGTGGACGCCAGTCCGCAAAGTCCTTGTCGAGAGTCACCACAGGGTCACGCGTGGCCAAGCCCAGCACTCGAAGACAGAGCCGCAGGAGCACGCGTCTTGATAGTGCCTCGACTGACGAGCTGACCCGGTCACCTTCTGTTACGGGCTTCGAGAATAGTATCATCCAACCCCCGAAGCAAAGTGCACGCGGCAGCCGTCTCTCAATGTTGTCGTATACTTCCAAAGATGGCGGTGGTGCCAAGATCTTCGCAGGCATGGCCTTTGCCATATCATTCCAGTCGAAGAAAGACGGCGAGAAGCCGGACCAATACGAGCACCGGTTGGGACAGAGCCGAGATGTTGAAAAGATGATTTCACAAGCTGGTGGACATCTGCTTGCCAACGGCTTCGACGAATTGTTCGAAGCAAACGCACTGAAGAGCAGGTCAACCAGCCCGGCGTCGGATGGAACAGAGGTAACCCCTTTGACATTGACACCCTGGGCACAGTCACTCGGCTTCACAGCCCTGATTGCAGATGGTCACTCTCGAAAGGTTAAGTACATGCAAGCTCTTGCCCTGGGACTACCTTGCATTTCGGATCGATGGGTAGCCACCTGCGTGGCAAAGGGGACAGTGGTAGATTGGCTGCCATACCTTCTTTGTGCAGGACAGTCAACCTTCCTTCGAGACGCGATCCGCTCTCGCTCCCTGGCACCCTACTCGGCCACCGAGGCACGACTTGGCGATGTCGTCGAACGCAGGCCAAAGATGTTGGAGGGAAGCAAGATCCTCCTGGTGATGAAGAAGTCCAGAGCGGAAGATAAGAAGATGCCGTACGTTTTCCTAGCACATGTCTTGGGTGCTACGCTGTCGCGAGCCTACAATCTCGAGGAAGCAAAGGAGACGCTCAAGCAACGAGAAGAGCTAGACGACCCTTTCGACTGGGTATACGTCGACGAGCACACCGGAACCGAGGAGGGGCTATTCAGCTCCGCCGCCCCCAACACGAAGCCCTCTAAGAAGAGGAAGCGGCCAGCTGCGCCCGTCAAGGACGAGGCAGACCGAGCCCCGAAGCGGATCAGAACCTTGAGCGACGAGCTGGTCATCCAGAGCCTCATTCTCGGCCGGATGATTGAGGAGGGCGAGCTCGACGCGTGAGCTCTGCATTGGAACGATTGTACCAGTACTGTGTATAGGGATCAAAAAGAGACAATAGGGTTTGTCAAGTAGCATCGGTATGGCGTTGGGCGGAAGGGCAATATAGGACGATACCTTGTAGGCGGGTTGGCGAACCCAGACAAGACGATACGAGGGCATGTGTACTATAGGCATGAATCAAGAAAGGCTTTATTTAAGCCATTGCATACATGGATTTTAGTCTCGCTGGGCTGTTATTGTCGCGATTGATAAGTTACTGGCGGTTCGTGACCTTCTTGGTGGCTGGTCGTCCAGGTCCGCAACCCCTATTCTCTGAGTCCGCCCGTGTCTCCCTTCATTTCTGGTCGTCTGTGATCCTCGCCTGTCGGTCCCGTCCGTCGCACCTGTTTGTCTCCCTCGTCTCTGTCTCCGTCTCCGTCTCCGTCTCTGTCTCCTGGCTCTTCATGTCGTCGCTGTCGCTTGGTGTCGCTGGTAGTCCTCGTCTGTTGTCCTCGGCTCTCGCCATCATCTCTCGCTATCGTCTCCCATCCTCGTCCCTCTCTCTCCCTGTTCCCTGGCTCCATGTGTCATTACTGTCTCCCAATGCCGACGCTGTTGCTGTTGCTGTTGCTGTTGCTGTCGCTTTCGCTGTCCTTGGTACCGTCTCCGATATGTTTTTGGGCCGTCCATGGCCCCCTAATAGGGGAAACATGTATGGCCTCCCCCCCGCAATTTCCCCGCCACAGGACTAAAGCAGCAACTTACTTTTGAATCTATTCGGAATGTGCGCCACCAGCCAACAGGTTGCCCACCCATGAGTAGCACCGTAGATGGCTCCGTCCCGTATGTCTCGTCGTCAAGTGTATAAAGCCCCAGATCGCCCGCCAAGAAGCTCGTTCTGTTTCTTCTTCTTTTCTTCGTCCACTTTCAAACAAAACATTTTGCTTCGCTGTTTCGCTTTTTTTGCCACTTTTTCGCTTTCTTGCTTTTATACACGCTACCACCGCTCCCAGTACATCACCAGAGACAGAAGTCACGATGTCTCCCATAGCTCCTTCCCGCGCCACTTCCGCCCACCGCCCCTTCTTCAAGTTGGGCAACCCCAACGTAAAGAGCACCATTCGGGCCGAGACCCGCCTCAAGACGGCAGGCCCGGGTGGTGCTCTGGGCAAGCGCTCGAACGCTCCTTCCCGCCCTCCTCTCAAGCCCGCCCCGGCTCGTGTCGACAAGAAGACGCGGGTCGGCCAGGCGGGACGCAAGAATTCGAGCAACCTGCCTCGCAATAAGTCGGGCAGGGCCCGCAAGGGTCCGAAGATCCTCGCCAACCATGGCGATCGCGCGGGCTTCACGCCCGTCGCGCAGATGGCAGCGCCACCACCTCCTCCCCCCGGTCGTCACTTCCTCCCCTCGCCCTCCCTCTCACCTCCTCCCTCTCTCTTTCCTCCTCCTGCTCCTTCTCATGAGCACCGCCCCCCTGCTCCTTCTACAGTAGGCACGGTGATCAGGAAGAGGAAGGCGCCTCCCACGATGCTCCTTCCCATGAGAAGGCCCAAGCCTTACTCCAGATAAGGGGAGGCGGCTTCCTGCCTTTCTTCCTTTTTTGAGCCAAGGACCGAATAAGCACTCGAGAGGGTGCGACAAGGACGACGGACGACGACGAGGACAGCGATGACGAGGACGACGATGATGACCAGCGGTGCTTTTTTACAGCGAATATCATTACCTAGCGTTGCTTTTTTTCACTCTTTTTCACACTCATTTTCTTTCAGCGAGTGTTTTTTTTTTCAGCGACATAAGCGACAAGCGGACCTGGTTTTTCTCCCCGCGGGGTTTTTTCCTTTTCTTTTTCTTTTTTTCCATAATATATCACCAGCGGGGATACTTCCCACCCCAAAGCTGTTCGTGTGCCTTCCGTGAATCGTGATGTGTTACGTGAGATGTGAGATGTGTAAACTTCCTGACTGACTGTAATCCCTGACTGCTGTGACTGTCGTCGTCCCGCCTCGCCGTCCTGCCTCGTCGTCCTGCCTCGTCGTCATGCTTCCCCGTCCTGCTTCCCCTTCGCTAGTCTTCGTCTGTGACTGCCATCTCTGCCTACTGTCTCTGCTCCCTGTCTCCGTCCATATCTGCATTCCCATCTGCGTCCCCTGTCTGTGTCCCTCCTATTCGCTATGCGGCTCTGCTCCTTGCCTCTGCCTGCCAGCACTGTTGATATTCCAATCTCTATCTCTAGCTCCTGTCTCTGGCTCCTGTCTCTGGCTCCTGTCTGTATCTCTGACTCTCATTACTGGTCCCTGTTCCCGTCCACATTCCTGTCCATCCCTGATCGCTATCTCTAGACACAACCACCTCTGCTCATCGCCATCTCTGCTTCCTACTTCTCCTAACCACTTCTGCTCTGCATCACTGTCCTCATTGTGAACCAGATCTCTACCTGCACCTTGACCAGCCTCTGAATTAGCGTACTTACCAATTGAACACTGAAGAGTGAATGAGAGCAGAAACGACAACGTAAGGATATTGCACGAGTTTAAACATACTTCTCCTGAGTTTGGAAGTATCCCTCCGAGAATATCCAGGCTTAGACTCCTACTTGACGATGCTACTCCATCCCTAGGGTTGGGAGAACGGTACATCCCCCAAAATGAAGAATCTTGGAAAGGTTTTCACTCAGACAGAGAGGTTCGCGAAGTCATGTTAAGAACATCAGAGGGATCATAAGACGGACGAAAGTCAAAGTGAGAAAAATCAAAAGGGAATCACCTTCTTCATGGCCCTCTCGCATTTCAAACGAGCACCCCCATAAGAGTCACTAGAGCATCTACTGAGGAGGGTTTGTTTAGCTGTCTCTTTTACCAGCTAGACCATTTGGCCCAGCTGAACTGGTTGAAGGTGACTGAGTGAAAGTCGACCAAGTGCCTGGATGGGCTTAGTTGAAGACGCAGGCACTGGGTTCAGTGAGTTGCGAGTTGGGATGGAGCGGCAGTTCTTCTCAAAACTATGTTAATTGTTAGTAGATTTCCAACTACTTCAATCGGGCTTCAATAACTGACGCAGGTTGCCCACGTTGCCGATAAAGGCTACGGCCAGCTTGAATTGCCTTGCGTTTTGGAGAAAATTGTGCCCCTGCTCCGGAGCCCTTCCGACAACGGGCATGCCACCCTTGTCATCATGCTTGGGAAGGCAGTTCGGGACAATATCACAAATGAGGATCGCCTCGCAACGGAAGGCCCCTATGGAGCCGCGGCGCAACTCATTCGTCAGTACCTGGATCTCCCGGTTCCCACGAGCATGGACGACACCATGGCGTTCAAGATCATGTACGCTCTGGACCGCGTCGTCAACCATGATCCGGCCATCAAGCGGCACGCCATCTTCGGTGTTCTACGCCTGAGAGTAGTCGAGTGCCCAACACTAGCTTTTGAAGAGATATCTGAGGAAGGTTGGGATCTTCCAGAAGGCTCATGAAGCCGGAGCTAGAATGAAGAAGGAGCACATTGTCGTGGAGCGGTGGCCGTTCACTTCGTTCCTTCGACCTGGCGAGCCCGGTGCCCGGGAGGAGATCGACCGCAAGATCGGTGGAGGTCTTTCGAGCTTGATCGGCTACCTCGAGTGACAGGATTCTGAGGACTGGAAGGAATGGCGAAGCACGGGGAAGTTGAAATCAGCAAAGAGTGAGGCGTAGCTGGTATTGTGTATTAGAATTTGGAGGCAATCTGCCCTCCTTGGTACGGGTCTGAGCATGGCCCTGACAGTTATACGCCGCCACGGCAAATCGATGGTCGTTAGATAAACACCCGAATCACCTCCTGCGTGAACACGGTCATCTTCAAGACCTCTCCAAAACACCTACGATCCAGTCCAACGCCTCCTTACTCGCTTTCAACCCATACCTAAATGTCAACGGGAAACAGTGCATCTGCCCATGCCATGATAGCCACTCGCCTGTCACACCATGCTCTTTGCACTTGTTTCTGAATGCTACAGCTTCAGGCTCTAACACATCGTAAGACCCAGTCAAACCGTGGACCTTGACTCCGTGGCGAACGAGGTACGTGAGATCAGCCTGAATAGGGGACACGCGAGGATCCTCAAAGCTCCAATCCAATCGACCTGACGATGGCTTCTCGTGCGAACTGCTACCATCGCTCACTGGTCCAGGACACCACGTCTTCGCCGTATCGTGGATACACTCGTGGGTATGTATGGGATCAACCTTATCCGCCTTCTTGATCTCTTCCATGTCATGTCGTAGATCTGTAGTTGGACTCATGGCAAGGATGGCAACCGGTGGCTTCGCGGTCTCTCCCTCCTGGAACCTCAATGTCCACGTTACCACACAGAGGGCGATGTTACCGCCTGAACTATCGCCAGCCACGATGACCCTCTCCCCAAGCCTCGTCGACTCCATTAACAGCTTCTTGTAGACCCTCTCAATTTGAGGGAAGGCCACTGACACCGGATGCTTCGGCGCCAAGGGATATGAGATTATGGTGACCCTCGTGTCGGGTAAGCGGCGGACTAGCTCGGCGCAGAAGGCCCAGTGATGTTCGCTTGGTGGCATCTGCCATCCTCCACCCCCGAAGTAAAGAATTCGTCGCTCATAGCCTGTTCGGGTCCCTTCTTTCCTTTCTGCTGAGTTCTTTGGTGTTATGTCGTAATTCCATACTCCTTCTACTTCATTCTCCGTGACGTCGCAGTATCTCCGCGCCCTTTTGGTGGCAGTCAATCGCGTCTTCTCATCTGATCCCTTCTTCGGTTTCATCAATCGGGGTTTGAGAGGCTTCAACACTGTCTGCACGACTCGGGTAAGAAAGTATCGCTCATTTCGCTCAGTTACGGTGAGACCAGCTGCGTGGCCGTAATTGGGAGTTTCGTTTTGGCCAACGAATTGGTCGTCTGATGTTAAGGTCTCCATGATGAGGACTTGGCACGGATTGTAGAATTAGTCGGCAGCTTCAACGGCCACAGAAAATTGTGAGCAAATTCGGATGAGGCCGGGAATATTTAGATCCAACGGTGAGGAATGTTAGCTGTTTTGTTGGATCACGCTTGGCTCGGATCCACGACGTCATTAGCTCTGGGCGCCTTGACGTCATTCGTGAGACCCTCACACCGACAATCACCTCATGCCATGTAGTTGCTCTACAGTCAATCTAATAAACATTATCGACCTGCGGGAACATTGACGACCTTGAAACCCATTTACCGTGGTTATTGCGCTTTAAATATGGTATCCAAGCGAACGCGTTTTCCAAATCGACTAGAAATACTAACATTAAGCAATTTGCAACGGCAATTCACCGTTCGGACCATGCCTTTCTCAACCCCCTTTGGAGTATACCTCTTAAGAAAAGATAGGCCTTGTACGAAGCAAGTACAAGCCCTCGTGAGTGTACAATGTCCATCCAAAATTTGGAAGTCCCAATAGCAGCATTGACTCTCGGCACAACGACAGCATCGTACGCCGAGACTCCAGCTTCTATAGACTTAGCAGAGCACAGATAGCGAGCCAACTCGGTGCCTTCACTCAAACCAAGGCCAGCCCCGTATCGAGCAAAAAATGCCAATGAATGATTGCTCTCCCCCAAGAAAATGATCGGGGACCCATCTTCGGGGTGTTGAAAGGCACGCTTAAATTCCACCTCTGAGCAGACCATTGACTCTGAATCAAGTGTCTTGTCCACGATTTCTTTCATTAGAGGCCCATAATCTCGTCGAAGCTTCTCTCTAAGTTCTGAAGACGCTTCTCTTCGAGTTCGTTGGAGCCGCGTTTTAATGCGGAAGGTGGCCGTCCATGCAATCGTCTCGCTGTCAATTGGGGAGAAGAAGCAGCACACTCCTGGCCCCAACATTTGCAAACCCCAATACTCGCAAACTTGAGAAGGAAGGCCCTGCTTGAATTTTGCCGTTCCCCCAATCTGAACAAAGCCTGTATACTTTGGGGGTTGAAATGTCTCCAGACTCTTGACCATTGAAGTTGAGGCTGGCACTGTGGTTTGTGTGGCCATGTCTTGGTCAGCCGGGCGCTCGAATGCTAGAGCTCCGTCTGCCGCAATAAGCAAATCACACTCTAACGTCGTGCTCAAAGGATAGTTTTCCGGATCTGCGCACCTAACACCAACCTCAATCTTACCATTCGGGAGCTTCCGGGCGGCAAAACAGGTGACATTCCAGCGTATCTCATCTGTGATTTCGACAGCATCGATCAAGACTCTACGCAGGTCTTTCATCTTGATACGACTCCTTGCCTCACTTTGACTAACGATTGCAGAATTACAACTCATTATCTCAGTCCAGTCTGAGTTCCATATCTTGAAAGACCCCGTGCGATGACCAGGGCTTTTATAGACCTCTTGAGGCAGCCCTGACTCCTTCAGCCAGGAGACATCTGCTGGGGCGCCATGACCAAAGACCTGGACCTCTTCTTGATCGGCTCGTTGATAAATATGTCTGGTTTCGCTTCCGTATATGATTGTCAGCCTTGGGGGTCTTGGTTTCGAATCCCATAGCTTCCTGAGCGCGATGATGAACGAGAGGCTGGACACATCAAGACCCGCTATCAGTATATGTTTGCCTTCTAAATGATGGGTTTTGACTGGTTGGTCAAGCAGATCCTTCATTTGTGCAGATCCAAACATATCTTGGAGGAGTTGTCGCGCGGGAGTCGTGAAGTTTCCTGGAAAGCTAACCAACGCATCCGGATCCGCACCATGATCTAGAAGCAGCTTTATCAATGGCAAGATTTCCTCATCGTCATGCGAAAGCTTGGAAGACATCTTGATGGTCTTGATGAATGCTTTCCAAGGGGTTGTGTTGTCGTAGGAATCCCAGCGGTTTGGATCGGCGTTACGTTGAAGAAGTAGCTTTACTGCTTTTTTTTGAACAAGGAATCGTTCGTGGCTGAAATCTTGCGCGTATGCAAAATCCATTCGCAAGGCGTAACGTAGAGGAGCTGTGTGATCTGGTTGGCGAGGGTTAGAGTCGCAGTGGAATAGACTGCGTAAACGTAGTGGGGGTTGACTACGTATGTAACTGCAGACATGCGCCTCGGAAGCGTTTCTCATCCAGTGATCTCCGTAGCCAGGCCATTTTCTCCGCCATTCTGTTTCTGCAGTCTCTAGTATGTCATATAAGTCACTAGTATTGACCAATTGGTGTTCTGCTGCCCTGGCGAGGGAAAGGATAGTCCAACAAAGCCAGAACGCCAATTCGTGGTTTCCTTCCGGAGGCAAACGCCGGATCACTGTCAGAGTTGCAGCGCATGGAATCAGAGACCAAGCGTCTCCAAAAGAGGTCAGCGGGTACGTTTCCGTCATTGAACCAGCGATTCCATTGTCGAAAAGATAATCTCGGACTGTACGGTGGTGGTAATTGACCGTATGACCGGAAAATGGGTCGTTTGGATGGTCCTCTGAATGAATTTCCAGTAATCCTTTGGTACGGATGTCGAGATTGTTTCTCAGTTGAATCATTCTTTTGTTGACGTCATCCTCTGACATGATGTTTTGCTGTATTTTCAAGAATTCGGCGACGTTGCCATGATCTAGGATGTCGTCCACAGCGGAATAAATGACCGCAAGTTCACCTTGATCGATCGAGGTCGCTAGCCAAAAGAAGAGGGCTGTCTCCGGTAAGCGCTCGCTGTCTATGGCATTCATCATGTGCCCGAAGACATGTTTGAGATCTTGCGGGAACCTCTTCAGGCGCTTTTTCAGCATGCTAGAATTCTCCCCGTCGAGATGGCCCTTGGTTAGGCTCCGTACAACCAAAATGACCCAAAGAAACACCCCCTCGGCTCGGTTGACTACCTCTGTGGCGAGTTCTTGAGATAAGCCACCATGCAGTGAAATTGATCGATGACTATCAAACTCAATTCGTACGTACTTCTCAACGTCCGTTCTTGTGAGGTTTTCGAGCTGCAGTCGATGCCCCGAGTCATCTAAGAAGGCGTTCCACAACATGTTTGTGGGCCGGCTTGACACGCAGAACTTGATGTGTTCGGAGTCGCAGAACTCCTTCAACGTCAGGAGAAGTTGACCTTGGTTCTCCCCAATCTCGTCTGATTCTTCAAACTCGTCCAGTCCGTCTATGAAGAAACAGAACTTGGTGTTCATCTCATGGCCTCCGTGGCGCAAGATTGATGTCAACGCTCCTTCTAGCTGCGTTCGGGTCCATCCTGTCTCTTCTTCTAAAGGACTCGCTGTCGTAATTTCCAACGATTCCAAGACTTGGACTGTGAAATCAGGCTGAGCTCTGAGAATCTCAAATAAGAGCGTCCTCAGAAGCCCAACGATGGACCTCTGGAGTTTGTTCCCGGTTCTCCAGAAGAAATGCTTCGCCATCACAAGCCTTTTCTTCCCAGCCCACTCTTTCAGAAGCTTTCTGGTCTGTGAATGGTCGAAAATATACTTCATCATCGTCGATTTGCCCGATCCAGCTTTCCCTCTAAGTAGAAACGCACCGCTTCTACTTCGGAGCCACCTTACAAATTCAACTGGCCTTGATGGTTGTGTGCCAGCAACGTCTTCCAAGATCCACGTGAAGGTCGACTCGTAAGGTTCCATTATACTTCGATGTCTTGCTTCGATCATTTTGAAGTGAAGGCTCTCGATCATCTTTAGGTTGGATTCAATGAAGGGTATCCGCTCTTCTAGGCGTTTTATCTTCTGCAGCAGCCGCTGCAGCGAGCCCTTCCCGTCTTGTCCGGTACTTGCTGTATCGGCCTCAGAGCCAGCCAACTGATTGCTGACTGATTTTATCTCTTGCTCCTCTTCTGTGCTGAGTATGTTGTTGGTATAGCCTTTGATGCAATTCACAAGCAGTAGCAGCTCTTTGTCTCCTGTTGCGCCATATCTTTTGGCCACTTTTTCAATCGCCAGTACCCTTTCAATCGCTTGGGACATGTGACAACTACAACTCTGGTTAGCATCCAAATAGTCTATCGACAACAGTAAGATAGGTAAGATGATGGCTGCAAGCTAGGCCCGAGAAGCAGAAGTAAAATGGTTCAGAGAACTTCAAAAGGCGGGGATTGCTAAGAAGTAGGATGACTGACCTAACTCTCTCCTTAATGCTTCCATACACTTTGCGCCGTACCAATTCCATCCGAATAGCGAGATTGGGAATCAAATCTTCACCATGAAATTCAATCAAAAACCTCCTAATGAGACAATTGCTCCTATGAAGGGGCTCGCTAGCTCCATGCAACTGATACGTTCGGTCCACAGCCGCACGCAGGTCGTTGATAATACTTTCGCAATCGGGTATGAGGTCAACCAGTTCATCAGAGTTCTGAAACCGTTCAGTGACTTTCAAACCATACAGGACTCGGTCAAGTGACTCCAAGATGTCGACAACCTCGTCAAATGCCGTCGGACTGTCCCCAGGTAGTGTGTAATCTTCACTACTGACAAGAGACCGAATCAAATCAACACACTGTTCGATGGGCAAAGAAGCTTCGATAGTGTCACAAGCGGCCTGAAATAGGTTGACCTCTTTGGAACCTCCCACAATATTGTAAACCTTGTCCCCATAATGGTCTCCTTGGTGCAGGTGGCCACCCTGAGTCTTTGTGTTTTGGTACACCCGTCGTGAAAGCGGGTGTGCCCCACTGCTTTGAAATCGCGCGGAAACTTGCGCCGTCTCGGTTGCCTTGTTGTGATCTGAAGAAGACATAGCTATCGACCCGTGGTATTGATTTACTCTGTCGACTTCGCATTTCTGAGGCCTTCGCCTGTAGATGAAAACGCTACTTGGCCTGTCATATGTCGAGCTAGGGAGCGATATTTGGAAAGGATGAACGAGACGGCAAAAGATATTGGCAGGCTTTCGGGGGTACATCCTTTGGCGACTGCAGCCGCCCAGGCGAGCAAGGCAACCGTGAGCTCGAACATCCCAGGAAATGGCGCATCATGACATCCATCACTTAAGAGGCAGCCTGGGCTTGGAGCTGACCTCCCTCTCATCAATCATACAGGAATCCGACGGCTGAGATAAAAGTGTTCAGCTTTCAGCCATGGATTCCGAGGTTTTTTTCTAGCTACAATCATAGTCCCTTGAAGTCCAGTCAAACGTACTTGATTAGGCACCGTCATTATTTTGATCTGATTCGTTTCGCTTTCTTCGGATCGTCCTCATCAAGTCTTTGGTTTCCAAAAGGTGTCTCTGCCAATTAGCTCGAGTCTATTCAGAAAGGGGTTCTATTTGCCAGAAAACTTCCCTTCTCTCAGAGCCTTCAAGCTCGCATTGATTCCCTAAAGGATGCAAGGACATGCACAGTCAGACCGGGGTGGAGCCAGCCCACCATCCCACGCGGTTGCACCGCAGCCAATGCCACACTGCAGTGCAACAAACAGACCACTTAGAGAAGCAGTGAAGACACGTCACACCCCGGGTAGCTGATGTTATGATCAGGGCGGCGTTGGGCGACTTAGGCGCCCGGCTGCCTTCCCCTCCCCACCCTCCAAAATGTCAGAGTTCGCGCCTCATCCCAAATTCTCTCAACGATCCCTTCGAGTAGTAGATTTCGACCGAATCTTACCATTTTCTTAGGAGGCAGTTGCCTGCTATTCCGTCCCCTGTCATTATTCGCCGGTTGAAGGATCCCTCGCCGACCGAAAGCCTTCGGGGCCACTTCCAAATCCGTTATGGAGGCCGCTGGGCTTGCCTTGGGCGTGGTCTCTCTTGCCGGCTCTATTTCTGGATCATTCATCTCAATCGTACAATGCTTTGAGTATGTGCAACTTGGTCGCGGGTTTGGAAGGGATTTTGAAAAGGCCCAGATTCGACTCGGAGCGCTCAAGCTGCGACTTACAAGGCTGGGTGTTGTGCTTGGAGTGTTTCCTGAGCCCAACACTGGTCGATTACTGAGGGTTTCAACCAGCCAGGAAAAGGCTGCTCAGGCCAAAAGGCTGGTAGACTCAGTTCTCCAAGATGTTCGGGAGATTGAGCAAAAGTCGAAGAGATACGCCGACGCAAGAGGCCCCGTCATCTCTCCCGAAGAGAAAGCAGTTGAACTCAGCGATATCCATTGTGCGAGCCAATGGCAAGCTTGGAGCTGCCAAGCCAACGATATTGTTTCGACTCGGCTGAAGGGCACGTCGTGGACGAAACGTGCAAAGTGGGCTTGCTATGAAAAGCGACATTTTGACACGTTGCTGGCTGATATCTCTGACGTCCTTGGAATTCTTGAGGCTCTGTTCCCCGAAGCTGTAGACGCCCAAAGGCCTTTGTGTACTACAGAAGTCGAATGGTTGCGAAAGAACACTCAAGGCTCTGCGTCTCTCAGATTGTTTTACGCAGCAATCGCAGAGAACTCCGACACTGTCCTTACACAGGCGGTCAGTGAAGCGATCTCTTCTCAAGGAACGACTCACAAGTACTCTTTTACCGAAGCATCGGAAGATTCGATTGTTATCCAAGGGGATTATATTTCCGAGGGCTTTTCGGGACACGTGCCGATGGATAGACCCGGCCATAGCTATGGCGTCACCATCATCACAGGAGGAACCAAACTCATCCAGGGTGATTCATATGGAAGCGGAGTATTCTTCTGAGAAATATGAAGTGATTGCTCTATCTCACAAATTGCAATGGAAGCTTTCCCTTCGCGGCAGACTAGATCGGGAAATTTGCATGAGGAAAGACTGCGTAGGGCCCAATAAAGAATTCATACCAGGCTTGTGTTAGTTGGAAGGATTGTTTCCATTCAGGAATCGATTGATTATAATCTGAAATAGATTTGATCCAGGTATCATTCTAACTGTAGACAGTGCGTTCATTCCCACTATCATGGTCGAAGGATGTGAACAGAGTTTTGTAGCCTCATTTCTTGGTTGAATCTGAGCCGTACATGTTACCCTGATGAAGAGAACCACCGTCGCATTCAGTGTCCTCAAAGCTGTCTTCTCCAAGGCCTTCTGGTGCTAAGCCGGCAAAATTGGAGTGAATGACGTCGCCTTGATGGTGCACAGTCCCGTCGGTTGTAGTTTTGACGTAGGTATTGCCTTTATTTCGAGCTGGCGGGGCATTCCCCTTGGGACGTTGACCCTGTGAATAGGTGCCGCCTTGATGAGAAGGGCCTTTTCCCCTGGCGCGTCCACGACTGGATTGTGATGTATTACCTCTGCCACCTCTGCCACCCCTGCTACCCCTGCCGCCCCTGCCGCCCCTGTTCGATGCCTGGGAACTGCCCGATGCCTGGGGACTGCCCGGTGTCTGGGGAGCTTTGAGTTGGTCGCCCTGGACTAGCTGACCGTTCGAACTGTTGGTTTGATGGAAACCATGTTTGCCTCTATTTGAAGGATCCTGACCTTGGAAACCTGTCTCGACCTTGGTGCCTTGTTGAACGACACTGTTCTTGGCTCGGGTGCCTTTGTACTCATGTCCTTGCTTCGTTGCCTTGCCGCCGCCCGCCTGAACTTGAGGCTGCGGCTTTTCGTTGATAAAGTGCAAGGTGGCTCTGCTCTTGAGAACATCGCCGACAATACGTTTGTCATCATTGTCTTTAAACTCGAATCCGTCTGCCCTCAACTTCTGCCCCGTCGGGGGGATTTTAGTGATTTCGGAAATCTTCTGCTTGAGGGCAGCGATGGTCGCCCGGCTCTCGATTTCCACTTCTGCTGGTTGGCCATCTCCTGCAAAACGTTAGAACTTCTAGACCTTATTCTCACCAAGCCTTTTTTTGACACTTGAGGAGCTAGGTCCAATTCACTTACCGGTCTTCACGCGCAGCAGAATAGCAGTGGTAGTTGATGTGGCCATCCCTTCGATAGCCCAGTTTTTGATATGTGGATAAACTGGCCAAAGCCTCCAAGTTGCGTTTTCTGAGTTTGAATTCTCAACAATAAATCTCAAGAATCATTTCTTGAGCCACTGAAAAACGAGCCAACGTTCTCCCGAAGGCAGGGAACACGGTGATGTTAGACAACGATCCGTACCTTATGGAGGCGAAACGAACGCATTAATAGGCATTATGTCAACCCACGTGAACATCATGCCTGCCGGCTTCGATGATAAAGAACTAGGCACCAGCCCCCATTTTGAGTTATCGCTGCAACCTTTCAAGTCTTGGCAGAGCCATCACCAACAGGAGTGTGGCATGCTAACGGCAAGTAATTTAACCGGTCAGCACCTGCAGTGTTCATGCGCATCAGCACAGCAAACAGCGAATGTAACCTCTTATTTTTCCCTCCACTGCATCCTGCATCGATCTTATCTCGCGTGACACACAGCACCCCACAAGTACCTCCAGCAGAGAGAGGCATTCACACCTTTTCACCCTCTAGGCCCGGATTCCAGTGATTATCTGTGACTCAAAGAGAAGAAAAGCCACTCAGAATTGCCAAGCCAAAATGGTTCGGGGCTTGCCTAGAGACTGTTACACGACCTGGCAGCTGATCATGCAGTTCTTGCAGCGGCTTGCTTCCTCGGTCTGGACAACTTCGGCCTCTCCGAAGGTCTTGCTGTCAACAGGCGGACTTTGCGCCTTCTTGGCCGGCTTACCAGTTTTGTCAGAATGACCTCATTTACGTAGATACTGTCAGAGGTTTTCTGTCCGTATATGATGTTCGTGTAATGACACCGTCTTCTTCGGCGGGTCTCAGCCGATTTGACTCGGACCGGGCCGGTGGCCCCACATTCCGGCACCGCTGGCTATTTGCTTTTGCCGATGATCGCGGCAACACCTTAGATATCGCGCTGTAGCGACGGCCTACTTCAACGAACACAGCCGCATGGTCTGCAGTTCCAACTTTGGACGTGGTCGGGGTATTCATCGTAGAAAAGATTCCCACACCCAAAACAACACCGCGTTGCGGTCGATGGGCGATAACTAACTTACTGTCTATTCATGAAATGTAGAATGAGGTTGATGGCAGATATTTACACAGCTGGCTTAGAACATTTTCGAATAGGAAGCCAATTCAATGTGAAAACTTCGTATGAGTCAACAACATCAGGTTCACCAATGGCACTGAACTCCATATGTGTCTTGCTGGCCTGGAGACCGTGGTGCAGCAGACAGACCAGAAGACAACAAGGAAATTTCCTCTCGCTAGTCTTCCAGCATTGTCAACTGCACTCAAAATGCTCCCAATTTTCGAAGATTACGAAATCTGCAAATGCGGCAGAAGGCCCTCCGGGCCATCGAGCCCGTGTACTGCCATCGACGGTGCCGTAGCCGTCTCGGACGACCGCCCCACAATACCCCGGACCTCGGACTTCTTGGCAATGCCGAGGTGCGAGGTCGAGGCCGGAGAGACGCACGAAAACGGCAAGCAATTCGGGAGAACACCATTCAAGGCGATGAAATGAGCTAGAGACAGACTTCGCCGTTGTCATCATTCTTTCAAAGCATCGCGTTTGGCCTGGAAGAAAATTCCGTTTCCTTCCATATCAAGAATGCCTGTCTGACATCCAATACCGTGCAAAGGAACTCGACGAATGGCAACTCCAGGGGACATTGACAGGTATCGGCCGAGAACGGATTCCTTTTTCTGCCTAAGGCTAAGCTGTCTGCCTCTTTGACTACCCAACGAGGCATGGCGCCCGCCCCCAGGCATGTCAAAATAAGCGCAAAGGTGGCTTGACATCGTCGAGACACGTGGAATGATGAATCATAGACTTCAGCCGTACGCGCATCAGGGGTCATTGAAAAACGGCTTCGTGCATGGATCTCGATGGGAAATATAAGCCGCGCCCAATAGCAATCGCGATATCGCTGTTGAGGTCGAAATTGGAGGTGCGGTCCGCATAAAATTGCAGCCTCATTGGCGTCTGAACGGCTGGGGCTAGGTTTGATGGTGCATGTGAAGTGCCAGGCCCCCGGTACCTACTGCCATGTGCGTCAAGGGATGAACGCCTACAATGGCATTGGGGGCCCAAATTGTCAAGTCCGTCCCGAACCCTGTTTTTCGATCTGCGTTTAGGTATCCGCCCTGGGAAGATCGCTCATCGTTGACATGTCTGATTGTGTTGCAGACCCTGGTTTCTGGCCGGGAACCTAACCACGATATATACCAAAGCCTTCGTCCGCATCTTCATCACATTCAAGCTCCATCCTTGCTCCCATCATCAACGCACCAGCGCTATTAGGCAGCTCCTCACACTCCAGTGGCAATGAGTTCACAAAGAGGTGAGCAACGTCTTGGGCCTCAACGATATCCCATCTAACATCTTCTTAGGATCCTTCGGGTACACCGACCCAAACTTCCCCCCACCAACAGGCGAATGGGACACGCCCGTGATCATCTACGGCTACACCCCATCCATCGCACTCGCCGGCCTCGCAGCCGCCCTCTTCCTCATACTCCTCCTCATCCACACCGCCCAGCTCTTCCGCCACCGCAGTTGGTACTTCGCGACCTTCCCCGTCGGCCTCCTCTTCGAAATCGTCGGCTACGTCGCGCGCTCGCTCTCCGCCAAGAAGAATCCCTACAACCTCATCTACTTCATCCTCAACTACTTCTTCATCGTCACCGCGCCCGTCTTCCTCGCCGCGGGCATCTACACCATCCTCTCGGCGCTAATCCACCGCCTCGGCCGCGCCTTCTCGCCGCTCCCACCCAAGGTCGTGCTGTGGTTCTTCATCACGTCGGATGTGATTGCGACGATTACGCAGATTTCGGGCGCGGCGCTGATTGGGGTGAAGCAGTCGCGGCGAGAAGATCCGACGACGGCGAATAATATTTTGCTGGGTGGGTTGGCGTATCAGGTGTTTTCGATCGGGTGCTTTGTGATTACGACGGGCATCTTCCTCTTCAGGGCGAGGCATGGGATTAGGGAGCACAGGCTGACGGTCTTTGTGGCGGCGTTTTCGGCGGCGACGCTGCTTGTGTATCTGCGCACCTGCTTTCGACTTGCTGAGACGGCGGAGGGTCTGGGTGGGCATCTGTACTCGAACGAGGTCTACTTCGGTGTGCTCGAGTTCGCGCCGGTAGCGTTGGCTGTGATTCTCTTCGCAGTGTGGCACCCTGGGCGATGTGTTGCCAAGAAAGTCTCAGGAGGTTTGGGGGATATCGAGAAGAGGAGGATTCCGAGTCACGAGTCCGGTCAAAAGTAGAAGGAATCGCTGAGGAATACACATACATGTCTACTCGCTACCTCTAAACTCCAAAGTCCCCGGGTCACCTCCCATGACCTATGTCTGCCATACGCCGAAACCTTAATGCATGTTCGTCATCGCGTCACAACCGCTCCCTTCCTCAACCAGCATGCGATCTAGGCATGCCGATTCCTCTAGCATCAATCACTGCCCACAGACGCTTCTCTAGCACTGTTCCTTCCTCGCTGCACGCCTGTCCAAACGCCCCAAAGCCAGGCACTATCTTGGGCTTCGTCTCGATGAAGCGCCAGCGCGCCTTGATAGTCCATTCGACCAGCTTGCGCATGTCGTACGGTTGGCAGAGCCGCCGCTCCATAGCCCGGCGGACTTTGAGTGCCGAGTCGTACGCCGGCCTGTTGATGGTCGTCTCCACGTCTTTCGCCATAGTTGTGAAGCCCAGCGGGACATCGTCCAGCTCCTTGCACATGGGATAGCGTTCCAGCACCTTCGCCTTCGTCTCGAACGTCAGAAGAAGAAACTCCTCGAGCCACATCTTGGCGGCGTCTTTGCCACCTTCTGCCATGAGATCCTCGATCCCGAGCGCTACGCGCTGCCTCTTATGAAACTTGATGGAGTCGAGCTCAGTGTCGAAGGTGAAGCCGGGCAAGCTGTGGAGCACAGCACGGAGCGGGTGTGGATGACGGTCCGCGGATCTGGTTGGCGAAGATGAGCCGCTGTCGCCGACGAGGAGGCGATCGAGCTCGGATGAGAGCCTGGCATCGGTGGCCCTAGCTTTCCATTTGCCGCTGGATCTCTTCTTCTCGATACCCCCCGTCGATGCCCTCTTGGGCGCGATGGGGCTCTTACTACGATTCGCCTTTTCGCGCTCAACCCATCTAGAATCGCGGGCGTTCTGGCGCTCTCTCCGGGCCCTGGCTTGCTCGATGAGCTCCCGCGGGGTGAACTCAGGTGATGAAGGATGCTCTTTGGATGTGTTTGGTGATGAGGTGCGGGTGATGGATATGACTGATTCAGGGAAGGGCGTCGTAAGACGATGGGTGCTGAGCTGGACGGTAGCGTCGTCTATGCGCATTTCCATGTCGCTTGGCTCCTCGACCAGCGCCATCTTCGGAGCTGGCTACCGGAGGCCGGAGGATGACCGGAGCGGTGGCGGGATGAGGGGAGCGGCCCGGCGTGAGGGGAGATGAGGATGGCGAGTCAGACTACGGCTGATCTGCTGCTCCGCTGTTAGCGCTGCCGTTCGTCGGAAGTGAGAGGCGATGGATGGTCCAACCGCGATAAATGATGCCTGCCAAGAAAGAGCCAAGAAGCAACGACGCCGTCAACCGAAGCCGATAGGAATCGTGTGGGGAAGCGAGCGACAGCGACGTGCGACGTTGAGATGGACAGACTCGGAATGTTTCAGTTACATCGGGGAGAAAAAAGTCAGAATTAAGCTTGCGGGTAGGGCTGCCGATTTGTGGGGCCACCAACCGTTTGCCGGCGTCGAAGGAAGTAACGCGGAAGCAGGGACCCAGGAAAGAGCCGTCCGCCTCTTCTTTCCTAAAAAGAAAGTTTGCAAATATTTAGTTATAGGCGGTTATATCGTTCATCGCCCTCCTCTGCTAAATAAAGCCCAACTGTATCGTGTATTCGTTCTCATTATCATGCCAAAGTCTAAATCCATTCGTTATGCTTTGCCAACTCAAAAGACGCTGGGCCACAGAATATGCTGTGACTGGTCGAAACCAAAGGTTCATCCCAGACCCAAGGGATTCTTTCAAATTTCCATTGTCAAGCCGACTGCCGGTTGAATGAAAATTGCTGCACCTCAGGTACCTCAAGCAAGGTGTAGTTGCTGTCAATGTACCACCAGCCCTTGTACTTCTCGGGCTTGTCGGCTGCAGGCTTGATCTTGCTCTTCTTGGGAATGTCGAACTTCTTTGTCGTCTTGCTCTTTTTGACGTAGCTCTTGGCGACATCGGAGTCTGCCGTCTGGTTGTAGTTGATTTCGTTCGAGTCGACTTTGCCGTTGATCAACTCCTCCCAGGTGCGGTGGCTGTCGATGAGAACGTCCTGCATGAAGGTGACATTCTGATACCAGTCCCCAACGATATCAATCACTGGGTCGCCTCGAGCAACCTTGTAGTACTGCGACCAACGTCAGAGCTCAGAATCATGATTACGGATAGGGCAACTAACGGTCCACCAGTCCCTGAAGGTCTTGATAGTTCCCGGGCGGTACTTTTCAACGTCCTCCCAGGCTTTGAAATGTCAGCTTATCTCAATAAACGCCAGTCTTAAGACACCTACAGTTGAGAAGCGGAGCAAGGGGGTCCTTGATGTCAATGCCCATGATTTTCCAATCAGTCTCATTACCCTGAGAATTGTCAGCAATGTGATGAGACAGGCTCGAGAGCGGGGCGACTTACATCAGCCAAGGCAAGACCGCCAAGAATCTTGACTTGCTTCACTTGGCCAGTGTATCCGGGGCTACATCCTGTTAGTCGATCCGACTATGAATTTTTTTCTCTGAGAGGACTTACTCTTGACCAATATCGAAGAGGTCGACGGGATCATTGTCGCCGTTCAATCCGGTGAACTCATGCTTGAAGTTGGGGCTCTCCCACGTCTGAGGGATAGAACCGTACAAAAAGGGGTAAGACTTGTGAGGCCAGACGTTCTCGACATATCTAGGGCTACCATTCCTAGAGTCGTGGAGGATTGGGTCTTCAAGATGAGAAGAATCAGCGCGAGTTCAATGCAATACCTGTTGGGACTTACTCATTGGCTCATCCCTCGCCATCTCAATCTTGGCGTCTTGCCACCTGGGAACCTCGATGACGACGTTGATGATTTGCCTGTCGCTCACATCCGGCCATGTTGGGATGTCGTGCCAAAATGAGATTGGGTCGCCGTCTTTTGTGAGCCATATCCTCCAGTCCTGTATAGCATCAGAATCAGCATTCCGAGTGGTTTTGTTGAATTTTTGAGAATTTCGTACCTCAGTGTTGCGTGCTCCGACTTCTCTCAAACTGAGCGACTTGTAGTCAAAGCTTCCTAAGCTCACCGCGTCGCTAACGGCAGCAAGGGCCGCGGTCATGAATATGCTCGACTTGACACCCATTATGATCGCTCTGAACAACTTTCAAAAAATCATTAACGAAAACAGAGAACAAAACGCGGTGTGGCTATTCAGGAGTACAATCGCAACGCGACGCCCGTTATTTTTGTAACTCGCCTGTGGCGAACACCCCGCCCAGCCAGCGCTGCCAAGTCGCACGGGGGCAGGCTTAGCCGACGACATTTTTGGAATTGGCAGGTTGTGGCGGGACCAGGAGACGTGGGGCGGGAACAGGCGTGAAAGAAGGCGGCGAAAAGATTGGACGATGGGATTTTCTTGGGAGAACAACGCATAAAGTCCATTTCTTGCTCTTTGGCGGTTGATGAGTTGGTGCGGGGCTCTCGTCGGGGATGACGGGGTTTGAGACGCGGGACCAATGGCGATCGCCTGTCGCGGAACGTGCGAATGAAAAAGGAGTGACGGGGATGGATAGGGGCAGTTTCGTCATCGCTGAAGAATGGCATTCAACATTGTCAGCCAACTTTATTTTCTGTCTGCTTTCTGTGACTGCTCAAACCACTTGCCATCGTGATCGAATACCCTTTTGGGGCAGGGACAACCATGTCTCCAAACGACGATATCGCAACCTTTTGGGCTTCGGATTGACCGCTATCAGAATTTTTCGATCAGCACCAATTAGAGCAGGCAACGCGTTGCATCCACAACAGGTACAAAATACTACCATTGTGAGCCAGGTTGCCCGCGACGATTCAAAATCTGAAACGCAGTGTAGTCAAAAGCTTCTAGGACCGCCTCATATCTCTCAAGATCGTATGAAGAACGCACGCTGAAATGAACCCTGCACCGTCGCGGACTTGTACGGCAAGTGGCAAGCGGCTAGCGGCAAGCGACAGCATATGGGATCACCGGTCCGGGCCGGCGGAAACCGCGTCGGCTCCGATCCGCCGAAGAACGCTGTGAAGTAATGCGTTCATTTACACTAATAGCATCAATGATAAACACCAGTTGGCTTGCTATAGACTACTCCCAACCGCAGCCGATACCTCGTGAATATGCCGCGGATGCCGCGCCGAGTGTCTCCCGCGAGCCTTCCAGCAAGACAGCGGGATTTGCTTCCATGGTATGAGAAAATAATGGCCTACAACTACTACGTTGGCTTTTGAACTCGTGAATCCTGGTCTAGTCATCGTTGTCTGTGTCGGAGTTGAACTGATTCATCCACCCTTGTTCCCTGCGTAGACGTTCCAAAGTTTTTCTGAGAAGCTTCGCACTTTTCCGACAAGCGTGCCCTTCCCCACCGACACGCTGAGGGACTAACATGTCGTTTTCGATCATAACCAAAAAGTCTCGAGCAAAACCGCCCACTTTCGCTCGCTCTTTCAGTTCATTGATGTGCTGTGCGCAATTAGCGTCATTCTCCATATTTGCACTGGATACATCGAAACCAACAATTGAGACCGCTTTCTTGGTTTCGGGAACCAGCTTCTTAGACATTTTGTCTTCTCGGGTGAAAAAGAAAGTGTCAGACGCCGTGTTCTCACACTTGCCGGTCATGCCGGTCCGTTCACTGTCGAGTCGCTTCCTCGAAAACTCCTCGATAAGCTTCCACCCCTCAAAGAACCACGTGATAAACTCAAGGAAAACACAGCCGAGACTCCAGATATCAGTCAAGGGACTCAGCAACTCTTCCACAAAGTCTACCTCCGGAGCGCGGTAGGTATGTGTATGGACGATCCCGTATACCAGACTTTGCCTGTCAACCTCACAGTTCTTGCTGAAATCAGCAAATCCAAAGTCTGTGATCTTTAAGGTCCCTCTCGGTCTTCCATAGATTGGAGATGATCTTGAGGTGTCGGCAAACCAAAGAATGTTGCGAGGCTTGATATCTCCGTGGCGTCCGTAGAGGTGACGAATAACATTACCGCTCGAAGTCACCGCACCTCTAGATTGAATCCTTCTCTGGACGGTTTCTGGATCGGGATCTTGCTGTAGAAGAGACCACCCAGATTGCGTCGGAAAGTATTGGATAAATTCTAGTCCTCCCACAATACCATGACATTGCTCTGCCAGCCACATGAGAGTTTGCTTCCCCTCTGAACGATGTCTCTTCCAATATTCTTCGAGATCATGTTCGGCCCACGAGAAGATGAGATGGTAGCAGTCATGGTGCTCATAAGTTGCTAATAGAGATATGAGGTGAGTGTGAGTGTCGTGGCTGATTCTTCTCAGTATTGCAACCTCTCGCCTAAAAAGGTTACCAGTGCTGATCATATTATGTGGGCGAAGCGTTTTGACAGCGAAAAACTTCTAAGCACACCAATAAGAAATTAGAAATCGTCTTCGAGGGCGAATAGGAATAACAACAGACAGGCATAAAGAAAACAGAACAGATTAAGGTCATTGGTAGACAAATTCCTTCGTCCTAGGCAACTTACTCCACACGCTTCAAAATTGTGGTGACTGGGATGAATTGAGACCTTGTTGACATGGCCAAAGCCACCGATTCGTTTCTCTTTACCATGGAAAGTGAAGGGTAGAATATCATGTGGAAGAAACTTCAAGTGGTCTACCAACTTCTTTTCTCCTCGCTTGAAGATACGAGCGACAACTCTCCATTGATGATCCTCAAAGGCTTTTTTTTCCTGTCCACTCCACTTGTCGAAGCATTCCAACGGACCGTCTCTTTCGCCTTCCAGACGACTATAAAACTGACAAGGACCAATATTTCCCCGAGGTAGTTTCATCAACAGAGGTAAATCGTCATCGCAAACTTCCTTGTCGATAAAACTCTTAATTCGAGCTGGCCGCTCGATGAGAATGAGTATCGCCAGCACCTTGAGGTAGGACTTCTTGGGCGCATCGTTGTTGCTAGCCCTGAAGATGTTTCCTTTAGCTTTGTCAAGAATTGATGGAGGGGACTGGTTGTCGCCATATATTATTCTTGCCTTTTCTTTTTGGGCATCCCGTCTCTTGGCTCTTCCCTTTGGAAAGTTGAAATTTAGATCCGTTAGCTTGTGTGGATGTAACTTAAAAAGTGAATGGTGTTTTCCAAGCTCTCTCTGCACTGCTTCCGGACTCAAGATTTCAATGAGCGAACTAGCAGGGAGAAAACCGTTTCGATCGATTTCCTCAGCAAGTCTCTACTGTAGTTTGGAACAACGCCTATCAGGCTCAGCCCCGTCTGAAAGAGACTTCTCTCTTGCAGGTCGTTTTCGGTCGTGTTTTTTCGAGATCTTCGTGCTGCGCTGACCTCTGGGAGAATAGAGCGCACCGTTTCCCGTAAACGACGATTCTATTGGAGATGACGTTTGTGAATTTATCTGCACGCACAGCCGTTTGTAAGCTGCTGGTGGAAGATCATGATAGATAGATTTAAACTTACATCGGTATGGATACCATACTCATCTGACTCTTGGCCGACAAGAGTCAACGCAACTGAATCGTTTTTCGTGTTTATCGAGCTGCCACTTGGGGTACTTGGGGTACTGCGACGATGTTGGCTAAGACGGGTCGACAGAAAATCGGATTTCGAAAACCGTCCAGTCGCTTGTTGTATCTTCTGAAGGAGGCTTTTTTCGTTGCTCGAGGGGCAATTGGTGATTCGATCTGGAACCGAGCTCGTTCTCCATGCTTCTGTGCCATTAACGTCGACTCCATCCAAGCTTGGGAAATGGGTTACTGCTGTGGACTGTGAGGACTCGCTTTGTTGTGATTGCATGGTGAGTAGCCCTTCCAATTTCTGGTGTCCGTTTGCAAGTATGCCAATCATGCTGCTGCGGGAGGGGCCTCAGGGGCTTACAGAGAAGGACTGGTTGAGTTCACGCCCCTTCGGTGAGAATGGCGCCTCGGAGAAGTGGAAATACCACGCGGTCTTGAGGCGCGGCATTTATGTACTCAATATCAAACCAGGCTTCAGATTCAGCATTGATCAGATAAGATGTTTAACATTAAATCCATATGGTCCACAGTTTCTGTAATGGGAGATTACCCGAAGAGAATCGGGAAGTAAGCGGCACTGGCCCACCAACAACAGGCTGCGAAGCGATGCCCTCCATCCTGCACTGCTTACATGCAGCGCCAAGCCATTAGTTAATTGTTCCACTTCCTCAACTGTTCTGCATCTCTACAGCAGGCAACCAATGAAAAAGTTTGACGTCTTCAATGGGGAGGGGAAATCAGGCTGCACGATAAGAATGTGCTGCTGCTCAGTCGTACGCCCGAAAAGCCTGGAGCCAGGGAGCGTAAGGCGTAGTTTCGATGGTGCATCATCAGTGGATTGTCCAGAACTAGAGATTATGAACATACAAAATGGCACTGATTTTCCACCTTGTTTCTTGAACCTTTCCGACTTATGTGTATCTGAAGTTCAGGGGCGTAAACGTTGTTATTTGTTTGCATTTTCTTCGGTGCTCATGACATTTTTATTCCTTCGAGGACTGCGGAAACGCACAAGGTCGTTCCGCTCTGTCCCTTCACCACCGCCGTCGAAACGCCAGAGCATTGAGATTGGAGATATTGATCCAGTGAAGTTGGAGGAAAGGTTAACAGAGCTGTACGGTGCCGGCTGCTTTCAGATCAATGTTCGTGGATGTTCTTCTCACCTCAATGTTGGCGTGCTAACCAGGCAACTCCTTCCAGCTGATACATGACACGTACAACATCGAAGGAATTGACACGCCCCTTTCAGAGGTGAGGATTAATTGATATGCTGAGGTCTGCATAAAGTCGGTGACGTGAGCTGACTTTGTGCTTCCAGGCCGACATAGAAGCCTGCGCCTTCTAGTCATGCGACACCAAACCTGCCGTCCATAGGAAAGGGCGAGCGATGCTCACTACCTCTTTCACACATGAGACTTCGCGAAGGTGTCGCAATACGAAGCACGGAATATTGGAATATGTGGGTCATGCAGTTGATTATGCGAGCCGCCAAGATAGGAGGCTTGGCCCGTTTGTGGCATCACCAGGCGTCCATTCTCAATCAGAGGTTGCAGGCCATCTACCAATCAGATTCTCAGGATCTGCCTGCGGCTGAGGGTCGGCGGGCAAATTTGGGCTACTGGCGGTGCGTTAGGAAGTTGATAGTCAGAATCCAAGACCATGCATCTCAGCCTGCCTCCAGCCTGTGGCAGCAATTGCCAGGTTAGTGCAGCCAAGCGATGCACCTGATTTGAAAATTTTCAGCCTGAACGCAAATATGAAGCGGGGGCGAAGACAGTGGATTAATAGTAATTTCGCCAGCTTATCCGGTGCTCTGTAAGTGATTCGGGTCCACGATCAGGCTGTCCGTTTTCGCAGTTGATTTCCCTTTTTACCGGGTGAGCAACGGCATTAGAAAAATTATAGCATGTTCTCTCCATGCTCCCAGCTTCAACCCCATCCATTTATCAACAGCTGCGTCAGTGGTCAACTTTGTCGCCATGACTGGCAATGAGTCTGGTAGGAGGAGGACCAAACGGACCAAGTCAAACCCTCGACTTTCAGACGACATCATGGCGCACTATCGCCGAAGCGCCTTCGAAAAAAGCACTAGCTCATTTCTACCCGAGGGAGATATTGCCGGACTTGTGACCGATAAGACCGTCATGAAAGCTTTGGGATGGAAAAGGCAACGACCAAGAGAGTGCCCAAAATCTCAAGACATGCTGCGCTTCATTCTGGAAGAAGCGAGAAAGACCTTTGCCATAACATCTCTTACTGGACTTACTGGAAAGGAGTTGCTTGAAGCAATGGGGATTCTTAAGGATGCGAGTATTTCTGACAGTTGTTTACCTGTCAAAAAGATACTTTGGGAAGAAAAGGGGATTATTCGACGACCAAACTTTGGTGGAACCAACGAAAATGCCGACATCAATAATGGTTCTGATGATAGAGAGAAGCTATCAGACAGCGATGATGATTCTTCCGATTCTGAAGACTCTTCGGAGGACGAGCAGGCCAGTGTGTGGAACGGCGCCAGGGTCAACTACTTTTGTCACAACCAATGGATACTATTAGCTCCGGTCTTTTCGGTTAGTAAGTTCAATCACGACTTACCACGGGCTTCTATCCTTCCTTTCACCAAGAAACACCACGAATTCGACAGTGGCTCTTTCGGACGAGTCACAAAGTACGAGTTGCATGAATCACATCTCATAGATGGAAACAACGAAGTGAGCGCAGGAATTCCCGTCTAAAAGCACTCTACAGATGAAGACTGACTAGTAAATTACAAAAAGGATTTTCATTGCCCTCAATATGTTGCAGTCAAGGAAATACAAGCAAGTACGCAGAAAGAACGATCAAAAATTGTCAGCAACTGGGAAAAGGAGGCGGGCGTGCTTCAGAAGATGAATCAGCTCAACCAGCCACACATTGTCCGGTTTCTCACAGCATTTCGCTGGGGTGACCAGGGGGAGGAGGACCATTACCTCATGCTGGAATGGGCGGATGGAGGCAATCTGCGAAACCTTTGGGAAAGATTCGAGCGGCCAAGTCTAACGCCAGGCTTGATACAGGACACGGTTCAGCAACTCCTAGGTCTTGCTAATGCACTCAGCAAGGCTCACTATCCAGAGACGGGACCAAATTTTCGCCATGGTGATTTGAAACCCGAAAACATCCTCTGGTTCAAGAGCAAGTCTGGGAATGGAATTGGCACACTTAAGATTGGCGATTGGGGTCTTGCCAAACAGCACTTGGTCGTCACTGAGTTACGCAGCAATCAGACAACAACACAGTGGGGGACACGAAGGTACGAACCCCCTGAAGAGGCTCCTGGAGAGGGGTCAAATCTTCTTCTCCCAAACCAGCCTGGAAAGAAACGGTCAAGGCTATACGACATTTGGGCTCTGGGATGTATCAGTTTGGAGTTTCTCATCTGGCTGATGTATGGGCGCGATGAACTCAACCAGTTCAACAAAAGTCTTGGTACCAATAGCCTCGATATTCCACGCTTCTATCAACTCAAACAGAACCAGAACGGGAGAAGCAAAGCACAAGTACACGACGTTGTGGAGAAGTGGATGGACCACATGGCCCGAGACAAAATTTGCCGGCCCGGGAGTACCGCTCTAGGAAGTTTGCTTGAACTTATCAGAACTCGTCTACTTGTGGTGAAGCTACCAGAGCGATTGGCTACGTCACCAGATCTTTCAAAAGCTACCGGCACTCTGAAAAGCGACACTACCAGCAATGTGCCTGGATCCCCCCATATCAAGGAGTCCATCGACTTTCCCAATACAGAGAGCATTCCTGGTATTGCTATTTTCGAGCCAGAAGCAAATGAATCACCCATACCGCCACGTATCGACACAGGGTCTCACAGAAAGGTAGGTGCTTCAACTGGCAAGGTTTGGGAGCGTGCTCGCGCAACAGATGTTCAAGACCAGATGCAGATCATAGCAGGTGAAGATGAAGATGATAGCTACTGGTTCACAGATCAGCCAAGTCCTCCTTATGGTCCTGGATATGCCGAAGTACCTCAAACGATCAAGTCAGCAAATGGTCAAATTGGTGGCAAGACGGTTAGCGAAGGCATGCGTGCAGAAGTTCAAAGACTTTCACTTCATCCGAGAGCCCAAGGTCTATCTGCGCAAGCAACCCAATTGGTAATTTAGATCTTTTCGCTGAGATAGCGCTCACTAACTATATATCTGTCAAGATTGTATGTGACCCAGTCAGGTTATTCTCCTACCCATTTCAGTAGTATGCAGTACTAATCACGCGGTGGTCGCTTGGCATGTACAGGATGTAAGATGCCTCCCCTTTTGACTCCCGTTCCTTTACGTCTTTGTCCACTGAATGTTGGTTTCTAACGATGTCAAAGTATGTGAGTTTAGACTGCGAAATTGCCCTCACCACACTGTTAACTGGACTAACCGCACGCCTTGTTCGCGTTGGAATAGGGAGTAAGTGATTCAACCACAATAACACTTTTTTTGGGCATCATTTGAGTGGCTAACAAATTAATTACATCGCAGAATGTGAGTGCATATATTTAAGTCTCTCCTTGACGCGTACTTACTGAGGTATGCAGAACGTAAGCAGCAAAGCGGCGTTTCTGCGTTGCATGGGCATTTTCTCTGACTCTACACCAGAAAGTGAGTTTCTGGGATGGTTGATATTTGAGTTGAGACCAATCTAACATTCCATTGTTAGCTTGACACTGACTGGCAGTTTCTGGTCGACAACGACTTTGCCAATCGCATCATGTCTTCAATCCGAGACAAGTCTTTGCAACTACCTCTCGTCCACCCGGCCTGCATCTTGTGTACCAAGTGCAAACGCCTGAGCGAAACTATTTGGGATCCCGCTTTTAGCATCACTTATACCGTGAAGCATTTGAATTCGAATTCCGTATCAAAAGCATGCAATTTGTGCGGCCTGCTCTGGCGCGTTTACGAGAAGCACGGCATGACAAAACTCTCTGAGGTCATGTTTGAGAGAAATCAGTCGATCATCAAGATGAACGGCGAAGGCGCTCCCGTTCTTTCCATTTATAGAAGCCCAGGTACGTAAACTTTATGAAAATCATTGACCAAAATGACCAAGAATATGAGGTGGCTCACATTTCTCTTTTCATAATCAGATCTCGAAACGCGAGTTAGTGGGGATATTCAGATTGGGTTTCCTCAACTTCCTGACGCCAGGAGTGAGACGCATTTCGAGATCATGAGGCAATGGCTAGACTTTTGCGACCATCATCACAAGAACTCCACTTGCCGCGTAGACGTTCCAGTCTCGACATCAATCAATTTGAGGGGGTCCAGAACTCCTGGGAGAATGCCAACACGAGTGATCGCAGTAGGTAGGACTGGAGATGAATTCGTGTTCCTGCACGAGACCAAGCCTGGTGACCACGGCGAGTGGTTGGCGCTTTCTCATCAGTGGGGAACCGGTACTCAATTCTGTACCACGACCGGGAATCTCAACGAACACATGAACGGCATCAAATTCGACGATCTACCGGCGACCTTCAGAGACGCGGTTACAGTGACTCGCGCTCTTGGGTGTGAGTATCTCTGGATTGATTCGATCTGCATCATCCAGGGGTTTGGTGGCGATTTCAATCAAGAGGCAAAACGCATGGAACAGGTGTACAGCGGCGCATATTGTGTGCTTGCCTCCAGTCGGCGACCTGGGCATGACGCCGGGTTTTTGCAGCCTCGAACGGCAAGAAACACCGTTGTGCTACAGTCGGCCGAAGGCACAAGTCCCTTTTACATATGTGAGGCGATTGACGATTTCAAGCATCATGTTTTGGATGGCACCCTGAACCAACGAGGATGGGTGCTGCAAGAACATGCTCTCGCTCGCCGCACTATTTACTTCACGGAGCACCAAACTTATTTTGAGTGCGGAGATAGGGTGCGATGCGAAACGATGATTAAAATGAGAAGGTACGTTTACAAACTGGCAGAAAACAGTTCAAGCTATTAAAGCAACTAACTTGTACAGCGAGCTGGCCACCTTCCTAGGCGACTCCAACTTTCCGCGAATAATTATGCAGGCTCACAAGGGAGAAAGAATCCTTATGTATCAAGATCTGTACAAGAGCTATTCGCGTCTTGGGCTTTCCCAAGCATCCGATCGTCCGATGGCTATTGCTGGCCTCCAGGAACGAATACTGGCTGCTCTTGATGCTGATGGCGGGCATGGGGTGTTTGACGAAGACAGGAAAGGCCCTAACAGCAGAGGACTCCTACGAAGAAGCTTACTATGGCGTCGCGGCGAGGATGTAACGTCCATGGTCCGAATCCAATTCCCCAAGCCCAATACCAGGGCTGTGGTGCCTTCATGGTCATGGATGGCGCACAGCGGGGGCATAGACTATATAAGCCCAGTCTTTGGCGGGGTTGATTGGGAAGAGATGCAATCGCCTTGGTCTCCGCGAAGTGGCAGCCTAGGAGATACACTTCGCACCGGTTCTCAAGGCGAGAAGATCGCTCTGGTAGCTGAGGCTCGAGATTACACAGCACCTCTCATCCCAGATGGACAGGGCGAGATTGTGCTCGACTACCCAGGAGGTTCGCAAACGTCCACCAAAAAGTGCGTGGTATTGGGCACGCAAAAAGGTAGGGCGCTTATCGAGGAGAAAAAGCACTATTTGCTGATAGTTGCTGTAACTTCCGCCCGGGATAGAGATGGAACCCAGTTGTATGAGCGGGTTGGGGCTGGGTATCTGCCAGGGAAATGCATTGGGTCTAAATGCGAGAAAATCAGGATTCACTAACTGCTTCCGCCACTACATTAGAAGCAGATGGCGGTTGGCTCATTCAACATTAGGCCAGAGCAGAGCAAGAATGCACAGCTTTTACTTTATTGATCGCAAAATCGTCGCTCACTAACACGTTCCACTAATACAAGGTAAATGCCCGACGACATGTATTTGGATGAGTCGGATCAATCTCCTAACGAAAACAAACAAATATCTACCAGTCTTTGGCTACAGTTTATGATGTAAAATATGTCTATCCTATGTCCCACGCTGCTCACAAAGAAAACCGAAGTCGCGATGAGGGAGATTTTGAGAGAATCCCACGCCAATGCTGAAAATTACTCAAGGAAATGTGTCACCGAGGCTGGAAATGACGTTCTCGCGCCAGTAGAAGAAGCCAGAGAAAGCGGCTCCCGGGCCGAGCAAGACGTTGCTAGCGAGGTTGGCCAGACCGGCAATGAGGGTTTGTTTGTTGGTCAGATATCCCTGTGTCCTCAGGTCCCAAGTCAGGTAAGAGGACAGGGTCACAGAGGCCAACCCAAACAATGCGCTGCTGCCAGTAAGCAGACCCGCAGCTCCAACTGTGGAAGGGTTCTCGAAGTTGGTGTAGATGGCACCAACAATATGGGCCACTGCGCAGACACCCGCAGTGAAAGCGTAGGTGGACTTCAGCGGCGCAACGTCCTTCTTCTGGTACATGTCGAGGAATTCCTCCGTCTCTTCCTCCTTGACCTCGACGTCGGGCTTGGGCGGGTTGATGAGGTTCTTAACGGTCTTGATCGCGTTGGGGATCAGCTTAAGGAGTGCCGCGCTGAGAAGAGGGGCCGCGGTGGCGACGACGTTGGCGGCTTGACGAAGTTGGGGGTTCTGAATGGGCAGGGATGCCAGGACCATGGGGATGCCGTAGCCTGTGACGACGGCAGGCAGGATTGACTTGGCGATGTTGGTGGGAACGTGGCGGCCGGGGATGTTGTTGGCGCCCAGAAGAAGCGTTGCCAAGCTGAACGCAGGCATGACGGCCTTGGGGCCGAGGATGGTGTACGCGGCGACGGCGGTTGCGGGCCTGCAGTCTTCGTTAGTTATATGGATACTTGGTGGTGACTAGGATACGTACCAAGACAGAACGGCAATCTTGTTACCAACGCGGCTACCTTCTACAAACCACATCGTGAGAGCAGAGAGAAGGTTGGCTCGGAGCTGGATAGTCTGCGCCGTATTCTCAGCCGCAGGTGCTGCGAATGAAGCAACAAGGCTGGAGTTGCTTGCTGCACCATTCAGCAGAGCCGGCAGTGCCTGGAATGAACGGACGACGTTCGCAATGTGCGCTGGCGACGCTGCTTGGTACAACAACGCACCCAGGACTCCCGCAGACAGAACGAAAGGTGCCCAGGTCGCCTTGCTCTCGATAGGCCTGGCCGGGAGCTCATCATTGTAAGGAATGAGACGGGGTCTCTTCGGGAGAGGGAGTCTCTCAATGTGGTGGCTGGCTGTGGCGATCGGGGTGATGGTCTTGAGGAAGCTCTCCTCACCGAGGATGGGCATGAGAACGTTGACGACGATGGTGGAAAGGGGTGATCTGCCGGTCAGGATCATCTGGAGGTTGTGAGCGCTGGCGACCAAGGCCTTTGCTCTGGCGTGGCGCTTCTCGTGGACGTAAGCGAAGGCGTTGCTGATGTCCTCCTCCGTTGGGCTCTTGGGGTTCTTCTCAAGCATGTTGGTGAGGGCGTTGATGAGGAGGGCTGCGGCTTCGATGGCGCCGTTGCCGCCTTGACCGGAGATGGGATCGATCTTGAACTCGTTAGTCTAGGTCTTGAAAGGACAGGATCTTGAATGCCACTCACCTTGTGGCTTGCATCACCGATGGTGATGATCCTCTTGTAATGCCACTTCTCGAACACGTACTCCTCGAGAGGTACCAGGGTCGACATGATGCGGTTCTTGTAGATGGCACCGAAGGTCAAGTCGTCGTAGACTTTGTCGTCCTTGTGCTCACTCGCCAACTTCTCCTTGTCATCCTCAGAGTATCGAGGAATATCCTTGCCGTAAATGGTCTTGCCGGTGCCCTTGAACAAGAACCAATACGTTCTGTTGCCGGGCGCGTGCACAATCAGGTAGCTTCGGCCTCCTTGGTGCACCATTTGTTGTGTGTACGGTGGCAGATCTGTGGGGCGCTTGGAGATGCCAAAGATGCATTTCGTGTCGACGGGAACTCCTGTAGACGCGTTAGCAAGTGAACGCGGCATACCACGAGTCTCAGGACAACGCACTAGACTGTTCATCTTCGGGGAAGTATCCGGGCGTCTCTTCCTTTCCGATGCGCCACATCTCCTCTCTGACGGCGCTGTGGATTCCATCTGCGCCAACAATAATGTCTCCCTCATAGACGGATCCGTCGTCGGTGTGAACCTGGACACCACCCTTGACAAGATCAACTCGAGAAACTCTCTTCTTCGTGAGGACCTTCTCCTTGTGTTGCAGGTTGTCGTACAGGACCTGGAGAAGGATCTGCCTATCGATGAAGATGGAGGGGTATCCGAGTCTGAAATGTTGTTAGTGCCGACAGGGCTTTGTGCCGTGTTGTCAGGTCAAACATACCGGTTTTCCAGGTGGTGAGTGGAGGCACGCGAGTTTTCTGATTTTACCCTGCCATCAGATCCGCGAATACTAGCCTTCAGGTAGAAGTCTCCCGCAATGTCACGAATAGGCTCGTAACAGCCAAACTGATCGAGGATGCGGAAGCCGTTGGACAACAGTCCGATACTTGCGCCGACCTGGGGCGCGATCTGGGGGTAAGCTTCGAGGAGGACGTAGTCAATGTTGAACTTTTCCAGCATGTTCGCCAGAGACAGTCCAGAGACACTGCCTCCAGCGATGATGACCTTGAAGCCCATGTTGAATTTCTAGAGTGATAGTCGCTATGCAAAATAAGACGAAAATAAAGTGGTATAATGTCAAGTGATTGTTGATTTCTAGAATGCTGATGTCTACCAATTCGAAAGCAAACAACTTCAGACGACCTTCTCTTTTAATACAATTCCCATCTCAACAGCGGCAGATCCCCTATGTCTAGAATCGGTTGGCGTGGGCTGTCCGTCCGTACGGTGGAATCGGGTCCTAAATGACACCCGAGCCGAAGCCTGGTCCCATGTACCGGCAGGCGCCAGCATATGAGACGGTGCGGCATTCACCTCCGTCAAACAAAACAGACAAACAGTTGCATCCTACTGGACTTGCCGTGTTCGTCGGGAGTTGCTCCAGCTGAGGCCCGGTGACAGGGGCTCGGTAGTATGAGGATTCCCATCCTGGAAATCGGACCCGAGGTCGAGCCCACAGAAAATCCCGAGGCTAGGCCTGCGCCGTGGCCCCTTATTCGACCGTGTTTTTGGTGTGTGGCTTGGGCGTAGCACGGCGGGCTGGACTGCCGACCGCCGACCGTTCCCTTGGATTTTGACACGCCAAAGTCTGCCGATCACGGATTTTGATGTGGCTTTGTTCGTCCAGTCGGTTGGTGTTCCCCGCGTATTCAGAGGGAACCGCTGCAAACTTTGGCATGATTCATTATCAGATGGCCGTTTCGATACGCCGCTCATGATATCCTATGCGCCGCATTTCCGCTGAGTCATCTTATTTGACTGCACGCTTAGGCAACTATCGCCGTGTTCTTCCTTTATGACGTTGATTGGTTGAGTGGTTCGAATTCGGGAACTGTGCTCTCCGGTAAATGCTGCCCACTGAGCTGTTGCCTTGATCAACGGAGTCCATAGTCAGTGAGATTGCAAGACGCGTCAGCGATACACTTCTGAACTCGACATCTCGGGCATCATTTTGTCCCGAATAGTCGTGCATCTATGTAAGAACACGCCGTAGTGGCTTTGCTGTGGGTGTCGACATGTTGACAAGCTGACGTGAGCACTGATCAGATGTGTCTTTCTTGTCCAATGATTGTTCAAAAGGTGACAAGAACCAACCAAGAACGACGACTCGCTAAATCATTTCGAAATGTCAAGCAACATGTTGCCAGTTTTGGTTGCTTGTGGCTCGTCAGGTTGGGTGCAGCTGCCTACCATCTGGCCCCACACCGAAACTCCACCGCCCTGCAACACACCCTCCAGGTCGCACACCTCGGTGAGCTAAGGTGAGGCCAAATCCCCGGCCCGGAAAAACCAAAGCGCCAGCTATCCCCCAAACCGCGAGCCTCACATTTTGTCCTTCCACCATCAAACACCCGCGCGATCGCGACAAGCTGCCTAGCCGACCCCCCAATCCACCAACCCCCACAACAGCTTCACCCCTCTCCCGACCGCAACAATGACTTCCACAATCGGCATCCCCATCAAGCTCCTCAACGAGGCTCAGGTACATTCCTCCCCAATTCCTCACAGAAAGAAGGACCAGCACAGCTAACCCAGCGCGCGGAACAGGGCCACATCGTCACCCTCGAAATCACCTCGGGCCAAACCTACCGCGGCAAGCTCCTCGAAGGCATGTTTCTCCTCCATTTTCCCATGCTCCATACGCAGAACCCAATTGCTAACATGCCGCCGTACTCCAGCCGAGGACAACATGAACGTCCAGCTCAAGGACATCACCGTCACCGCCCGCGACGGCCGCGTCTCCCACCTCGACCAGGTCTACATCCGCGGCTCCCACGTCCGCTTCTTCATCGTCCCCGACATGCTCCGCAACGCACCCATGTTCCGCTCCCGCAACGTCCGCGGCCGCGGTGTCGGTATGGCTCGTGGTCGCGCGACCGTCAGCAGGGCCCGCGCCAGTGGTCGTGGAGGCAGGTAAACAGGAGACATCTGGGTTTGACGGACTTTCTGGTGGCCATTCTGCAAGTTTCTGGCGGCAGGCATGACGAGTGATCCAGCGACGATCTGGCGTTGCCGATGGCGCTACTACTCAATACATATGACAAAAACGCGTACCGAACCACGCTTGATTCGACAAGAGGCAGGGCAAACCAAGGCGAGGCAGTCTGAGCAAAGGAAAAGCGGGCGGAACTCCAACACACCAATCTCGAAGAGAAAAAAGTTCACGGCGTTTTACGGTTTCTGGGTTCTGAATAAGGGCTTACGCAAGAGTGATTATATAGGGGGATGACGTCAGGAGAAATAACGATACCATTCAACCATATGCTTTCTAGAAGAGGGATACAGCGGTTTGCTAGGGTAGGCCTCACTCTCTTGAGCCGTTGTCAAAACTCCAAGCTACAAAATCCGCTGACAAACCAGCCAAGATGAGAGAGTCAATGCCGGAATATCAATGCCAAAAAGAGGTGCCACTCTTGTCCATCCTCCAAAAGAGGCTCAATACCATCCGTGTTGGAGCATAGTCGTGTCATGAAATTTGGAAGAGCTTTTGTCATGTTTTGTCTATGGTGACTTTTGTGTTTTATACATTATACAGATGATGGTACAACGTGATCGCAAAACCAAGAGCCCCTCCTTACTCGAGACGCTTCAGCGCGTCCTCGGCCTTCTCTACCAGCTCCTTGGCCTTGCGCAGCTCCTCCTCGCCCTCGATCGGCGTATCTCTCGGCGTGTCCAGCGATTCGACAACGCTCTGCTCGACCGCCCTGACCGCCTTGCGGCCCTCCTCGCGCACCTCGCCCTCCCAGTACGTCCGCGCCGTCTCCCACTTCTTCTGCAGGTTGCGCAGGCTCCACATGATGCCGAGCGCGGCCACGGCGCCCGCCTCGTAGATCGACCCCGCGTACTGCGAGACGTAGAGCAGGCCCGAGAGCGCGCCGGTGAGGGCCGAGGTGCTCGATGCCTGCAGTACGAGCTTCTGCGCGAGGGCCTGCAGCGCGGGGACCGTCTCCTCATGGAGGTAGCGGCGGGTGAAGGAGATGTGCGTGGGCCACTTGGGTGTGCGGCTCGTGATTTTCGTGATTGTCTTGGTCTCCGGCTGCGGCTGCAGTTCAGATGTTGGCTGGGTGTAGGTGGGCGCCTCAAGGGCGGGCACGACGCCAGACTCGGCGATGCGGCCGGCGAGGAAGACGAGCTCGCGCTCAGCGCCAGGGAGGAACCGCTGGTTGAGCATGTCGGAAGTGAGGACGCCGACGTCGTCCACGCGCCAGAATAGCTTCCACCAGCCTAGCTTGCGCCACCTTGTCCCTGCGAACGCGAGGTCGAGCTGCTGCTGCAGCTCCTCGTGCGCGAATTGTGACCACTCCGCCAATCGATCGTTCATAACTGCCAACTTGGGCGAGGCAACCTCTGCTGATAGCCGTCCAGACGTAAGGCGCCCCTGCTCGGCCTCAATCCCCGCGAGAGCGTTGCGCAGTAGAGAAGCGATGTGTGTCTTCACGACCGGCTTCGTGGCCCCTGCCGGGTTGTTCTCCACCCCAGCCTTCAGCCACTCGACAATGGCGGGCACATTGCTCTTGTACCACGCACGCTCATACTCCATCGCGTTGCCAATGTTCTCTCGGATGCGATCGAGACCCTTGCTGCCTACACTCACGTCAATGGGCTGGAACGCAAGCTGCTCGCCCTCCTCAACCGGGTACTTTGGTAAGTTGACCGCCGCGAGGACGGAATCACGGTACGCCGCCAACGGCAACGCCGCCACCGTCGCAGCGCCCATGATCCCCTCCGACACGACAATAGCCTTGTGCACCGGCGTAGTCACAGGGGTGTACCGCCCCGAGCTCGACTGGATATCAACAGTCGGCACCAAAACAGCCTGCTCCACATCCATCACGGCCGCCGCCTGCCCAGCCGCCGCCGCTCCCGCAGAGAGAGGATTCACCTCCATCAGCAGCAGCTCCACCCCGCACCCATTCAACGCAGGCGACGACACATCCAGCTCGTGCAGCAGATTCGTCTTGGATATCGTCAGCGTAGTGCCCTTCCCCTCGTCGCCCTTGGCCTCGCCGACCCGCACGACAAGCGGCTGCGTCGTGTCATGGCCCTTCACGGCCCTCTCCCACTCCGCCTCGTCGCCCAGCGGGTCCGCGAGCAGCACCCTCAAGAGCTCCCTCGCCGTCTTCCCGGGTTCACCTGCGCCGTCCGCCAGGGCGAGGATCGCGACGCGCACGTTCTCGTGCCCGGGTTCCTGGCGCAGGCCCTGCAGCGCGAGTTGCAGACGGGACAGGTTGACGTGGTTGACGGCGTGCTTCTGCAGCTCGAGCAGGATGTCGATCAGCTCCGACCGCGCATTCTGTGCGGCGGCGCTGCTGCTGCTTGCTGAGGAGTGAATCGCGTGCGTGGAGGACTGGAAGTACCGGCGCTGCTTCGAGGGTCCCCGTCGAGTACTGCTGGTCGTGCGTCGTGAAGGTGTCGGAGGAGCTGTGGAGAGCGAGCAGAACAGGCATACTGCGGGCGCCGAGGGTTGCTGCTTGCCTGCGGCAAGGGAAGCCGCACGGCCGGCGATTGGCCTCAGTGACACTCGTGGTGGCATTTCGTGGGAGGCATAGGGTAAAGGTGTGTAAATATGTCTTTACCCTGCCTATGTGTGGTGCAACTTTTCCCGCAGAAAAGAGGTTGCGTTGGGAGGTTGCTGCCGGGATAAACGGGTGAGGTCGGCCCAGGGCAGAAAAAGGTGCAGCAGTCGGGTTGTGGTGGACAAAGCTCCAAAAATGCTTCGCAGCAGCGGCTGCCGACCCAAGCTCCGATTTGCACGCGCATCACCGGGGGGCAAAACCTCGGGGAATTACGTGCCTACTGCTGCTAGCACCGAACCTGGAGCCACGGGGGCCCACCCCCGCCAACCTCCCAGCTGCCGACGCACCGACAATCGCTCACTCCATGACAACAGCACCCATCCCGACGATTGTGTAAGTCGAACGGTGTCTTCAAACCCAAAAAACGGCCCGGCACAATCTTCACCCAAACACACACCTCTACACGACCAGACCCCTTCCTCAACGGCTCTCTCTCCCCCTTCATTCCTCGCTGCGACAGCACACCGCATACCTCTACCCCTCCCCCGGCTCATCCGCGGACACAATGGCCCAATCAACCGCCCACCGCCGCCTCCTCCAGGAATACCGCGCCCTGACGAACAACCCGCCGGAGGGCATCACCGCCGGCCCCGTTTCCGAGGACGACCTCCTCCAGTGGGAGGCCCTGATCCAGGGCCCCGAGGGCACTCCCTTCGAGGGCGGCGTCTTCCCCGCCGAGCTCAAGTTCCCCAAGGACTACCCCCTCGCCCCGCCGACGATGAAGTTCCTCGTCGACATGTGGCACCCCAACAGTGAGTCGCATCATGTCCTCGTCTGCTTCCTCGTCCGTCCTTCTCCGAGCCACGACGCAATACAATGATAAATGGAAGCTAACCTCGCAAAAGTCTACCCCAGCGGCCTCGTCTGCATCTCCATCCTCCACCCTCCCGGCGACGACCCGAACCACTACGAGCACGCCTCCGAGCGCTGGTCCCCCATCCAGTCCGTCGAGAAGATCCTCATTTCCGTTATGAGCATGCTCGCCGAGCCCAACGACGAGAGCCCCGCCAACGTCGAGGCGGCCAAGATGTGGCGCGAGCGCCGCGGCGAGTACGAGCAAAAGGTCCGCGACGGCGTCAGGCGCTCTCTGGGTTTGTAAAACCGACCTGTATCTATGACGGGGGTAACATAAGACTACGAGTGAATCCGTGGAAGCGGGGGGAAGCTGCGCGGCCGAGAGGACGGGGTTTAATCCGGTCAGATGGGGCGTAGACATCTGGTAGAGAAGAGCTAGTACTACTTTGCATAGCACGGCGTTTGGGGAATCGAAATATTCGCTTTGTTCACTTTCTATATTTCATGCTTTAATTACGGCAGAGAGAAAGAGTCCATGCGCTCCTTTGCCGCGGACAGATGTCGCGCTAAAGATGACAGCTATGTGATGATGATGATAATCATGAAGATGCGCCACGTTACAGTCCGTTCTCGGACTTGAACTTGTCCCAGCTCTCGTTCAGGGTCGCAAACACCGTTGCGGCGATGAGCCTGACCTCCGTGCTGGCGTCTTGTGGGAGCTGCGCACATGCAATTAGTACATCAACCCCTCAACAAGCTAGAAACAGAATACGACATACCTTGTCGGGATGGCACTTGGCAATGGCCTTCATGTAGTTGATCTTGACCTTGTTCGCCATGACGAGCTCGTGCAATCCCACCTTCTTCCACCCACTGCCCTCCCAGAGCACCTGGTCCAGGCTGCCGATGAGCGCGCGCAGGTTATCCCTCTTGCCGTCCCTCCACGCCGCAATCTTAGCATCGACCTTCTCCGACAGCGCAAACTTCTCGTCGTCCTCTGCAGCGGCCGCCTGGTTCTGCTTGCGCAGCCGGTCAACTGCCTCAGAGCTCTTGGCCGGGGTAGCCGCCGGACGGGGCCGCGCAGGAGCAGCAGCGGGCCTGGGCTTCGGCTTCGGTTTCGGCGCCAGGGCGTTCTGGCAGCGCTGACGGCCACCGATGGCCGTGGCGCCGCCGACGCCGTTCTTGACGCAGGTCGACCACACAGCGTGCGCGTCGCCCCAGCGCTCCATCTGCTCGAGAGCTTCGGCCTTGCGGCTAAGCGCCTTGCCGTAGAGATCGCGCATGTCGCGCTTCTCGTCGCCGCCGTTGTCGCCCACGACGGACACCTGTTCGCCCTGGCCGCCGCCGGGTCCGATGATCTTGAGCGCAGAGTCGGCGTCTTCGACGGCTTGTTTCGGCTCGCCCGTCTTGAGAGCCGTCAAGGCACGGTTGGTGAGGATGACGATCGCCAAGGGGTGGGATGCTGGTACGGCAGACAAGGACGACGAGTATGAGGAATGAGCAGCGGCATAGTCACCACGCTTGAAGTGAGCTGTTCCATCGAGGCGGTGCTTCGTGGATTGCTGTATGGCTGCTGGAGTAATGGGTGGGATCTGGCGCGCAGGCCGGGGAGCTGGTTTGGGCGAAGGGGGGCGCCTTGGTGCCGGGGCAGGCTGGGAGGGTTGCGCGGGGCGCTGCTGCTGTGGCTTCGGCTGCGACTGAACGGGTCTTGATGCAGGGGCCTGGGAGTTGAACAGCAGATCTGGCTCCTCCTGCTTTGGCGGTGCTTCTTCAGGCTGAGGGGTAGCCTTCTTCCTTCTATGCGGACTAACATACGACGCTGCACTGTCATCTGCCATGGCCAGCTTGCTTGCGCGCGTTCTCGAATCGGGCACCGCCGGACCAGCCTGCTGCTGCCACTTCGGAACTGGAGTACCTCTGCCGCTCGAAGGTGCCGAGGTTGCGGGGGAGAAGTCCCTTGGAGAAGCAGTTCGGTGAGGGGGCTCCGGTCTCGATGACTGCGACGACTGGCCAGCTTTCCTGGGTGGACGGCCACCGGACTCCAACATCATAGCCTCGTCCGTAGCTTCCACGCGTCGCTTCTCGGGAGCCTGAGTACGGTCTTGCTGCGCGGAGCGCATCCACTTGGGCTGATTCGGGTCGCCTCCCTCCTGGTTGAACTCCGCGACAGCCTGCTGCATTTGTTTTTTGCCGGTCTTCCAGAGGGAGTTGGCAGTCTTGAACAGACTGCTGCCCACAGCAGCGGCAGTCTTGGAGAAGTCTGGTTCGCCGCTGGCTGGCGACCGTGTGTCGGCTCTCCGCTGACTATCATGCCTTCCATCCTCCCGTCCTCTTCTCGACGCTGCCGCGGGGTCCTTGCCCTGAGCCTTGGCCTTGGCCTGGCGATGGGCATCGTCCAGAAGCCAGTTCGCCGCCGCCTGCACATTCAACCCCGCACCACTCTCCGTCAGACCCCGCCTTGCATTCTCAGGGGTGAAGCCGTAGTCCACAAGCTGGGCGACAGCCTTATCAAACTCGGCCATCTCGCCGCGCGGGGCGGGCTGCTCATCGTCGGAGCTGGAATCAGACGCCTCAATCGGCTTTCCGGGTTCGGGCCGCTTGGGCTCGGGAGGCGGTGGCTGCTTGCGACGGACCTCCTCCACAGGTCGGCCCAGGTCACCGAGGAAATCGTCGTCGTCGGCTGCTTGAGGTGGAGCGGGTGATGAAGCCTTGGGTTTCAGCTGGTTCAATCCGAATGGGTCATCGTCGTCTCCGAAGCCACCATTGTTTGCAGGGGCGGCAGGCTTGTTCCACGCGCTCGGATTGCTGAGATCCAGCGCAGGCGTTTGCGCCAGTGCGGGCGAGGGGCTCTTTTGAGGCGGCGGTGGGTAGTGACTAGCATTGTCAACCTTTGTATCCGCGTTGAACGCCGCAAAGAGATCGTCGTCGTCGCTGGCCTTCTTGCTGGTAGACGAGCCAGGGGACAGGATGCCCGGTGACGTAGTCCGTGACACGGAGCCCGAGCCGAGAGTGTCCAGGAATCCTCCTCCGAACTGCGCCTGCGCCTGCTTCCTTCGCTCCTCCTCCTTCTTTCTCTTCTCGGCCTCGAGTCGCTGCTGCTGCTCGCGCAAGCTCAGGTTCGCGGTCGACTTTGGCGGGCCGCCGGCGAAGTTCATCAGGTTGCTGAAGCTGTCGCCCGCCGGCTTCGCGGCCGGGGGTTGAGCTGCGGCGGGGACAGCTCCGGAGCCTTGGGCGGACAGTGGCGTGTTGCGGCCGGAGGGGAACGGGGATGGCGTCGAGGCCGTCGTCTGTCGCATGGGCATGGAGCCAAAGTAGTTGGCGCCTGAGGGGTTCATCGGCGGCGCCTTGTTGCCAGGCTTGCTGGCCGACGACGACGACCAGTCCAATCCCGAGAGATCATCCATCTTGACGTGCTGGGAGTGTTCGAGGTGCAATCGTTCATGTCATCAATTTCGTGAGGTCGTGAGGGCGTCAAGGAGGGCTCAATGCATCGTTTTCGGATTGTTTCTAGACTTCGATTGTCTCGCCCTTGTCCCCTGGATCGGGCCTGGCTGATTGCGGTGTCGTGTGGACGTAGGTGGCATGTGGCACTGTGGCTGAAGCTCGGGATCTGTGGCTTTGCCGAGGCTTGAGCTTCGGCCTGAGATGGCGCAACATTCTCAGGCACCAATCTTTCTCGGCGTTATCAGCATCGGGGTTAAGACTCGATGCTGCCCCTCGCACGGCCCATGAGATTTTACAGAGTACGGCTGGCGCCGAAAGTAAAAAAGGGGTAAACAATTTCATCCGTGTGGGATCATCGCTGCTGTCACATCTCGATTCCCAAATTGCCTCGCTCATCCCGAGCACCTGTCTGGAGAATCTCTCGCGAGTCGCGGGGAAACCCTTCACACTGAACGACGTCGTCAGCCCCATCGCATGAAAGCATTATCCGCCCTCCGAACCACAGCCACTCCCAACACGGCGCACCGGATCGTTTCTGTTTAGTGGTGTTTGTATTCCAGAAGGCGCAGTCGAGTTCGCCATGGAGATCACACAATGCATGTCTGAGCTACGATGATCCCATAAAATGGTTCCAGACACTAGCCACTTCACTTCAGGCTGGTCGCCTGAGACTGGCGGCGGTCAGAAGGGGTGATGATGCAGCTCAATCACTTCGAAACCCCGGGCCTTCAGGCTATTGCTGCCGTAAGACTGAATTGCGGCGCAATCGGCCGAAAAGTGCCGCGCAGATCTAGGTCTCTGTCGAGAAGCAATTCCTCCGCAAATGCCAAAGGCTACTTCACTCCAGTCGTTGAATCTCCTGAATGGACCTTGCTGATGAAGATTACCAAAAGTCATCTTGAATGTCAAGGGCATCGTGCGCACTAAGTGGTGGGCACGATGATGGACGGATGTTGCTTGCCGGGTGGGAAGCTGGCCGGACTGTCATTCAAATGACGCGGGTCGGACTGGCTGTCGGACGGGGCGCGATGGAAGTGTTACGTGGTATGGCTTGACGAGCGACGTCGCACACGGAATAAAGTCCGTTTCATCATCAAAGACGGCCAGTCAATATCATAGCACTTATCTGTCTGCTGATGGCAAGCCGGTCTGAGATGAGCACCAAGCAGAGGCGGGAGCGTGCAATCACTCTAGCGTTGGGTATTGGGCAACTGCCTCTTCCTTTCGCAACGTAGAGTGTGATATCAAGAGGGATCCGAGATATGCGTTGAAAGGCTCAAGGGACTCTTCTTGGCTTTCGTCTGATACATGACAGCAAACAACTGTTTCGATGTAAGAGAAACAAGCACTCTCTCTAAGGTTAATATTTGACTCTCAGAGGCAGATGGTTCAAACGGAGCTGTTTGGCTGGCAGCGCAAACGGCGGGAATTCCTTGCAATAGGCCCTCTGGGGAATGCCAGATGCATTGAACATCAATGGGACGAAAGGCCTTGGCCACTGTGATCGTTTTTGGAACAGTTCGGATGATTGGCGCATTGCCCCCGTTAGCGAAGGGCTGAAACTCGTTTCGAATATCGAGGGCTGGGGTCATCCCTGGAGGTGGGCGATCAGGGGGAAAGGCTGAGCACGAAGCTGACAGGCTGAATGCTGAATCGCGGGACGCTGCTAAAATTGCTGTGTCCACGTCAGTCTGGATATCCAAGAATGGCACCCCTGATAGTCCAGATAGTGATAATCCCGAACGCGACTCGCGGTTGATCAGCGGCGACGACATTACTGACGATGGAGAAAAGCTTCGCTGGGGACAATGTCTGTCGCACCTGTAAGACACGCTCTTCGTATAAGCAACGGCATCAGACCATCGACGATTGGACGGGCTGGCTGGTATGGCGGTATGGTGATCTGCCGAGACTGCCGGCCGTTGAAATGGAAGGCGAAGAAGCAAAGGTGGCGCCGCGGGAGCTGTTGGAAGAAGCCGGTGGCATCGTGGCACGGCTGGAATGTTTGCTTCTCCTCGTGCGATTTTCCTCTTGGCTCTCCCAGCCACTGAGGGGCGCAAGGCACAGTCTCACGAAGGTGCCAAGTGACAACGACTGCCTCGAGTAAGATGAGAGGAGAGGTGTTTCCAGAAGAGGCTGTCGTGCGCAGGAGGACATGCTGAGTTTTCACGGTGCGATGCGATGGATCGTGGGATTCTTGGTTATCGATTATCCGCGCGCACAGCCAGCGGTTCGAGAGTCGTTCTCAGCTAAGCGCTGTCGTGCGAGGGCTAGCTGTTGCTGCCGTGCTTATGCATGCCGCGTCTCCCAATGACATGCGCAGAACGGGATACGACTTTTCAGCCGTTGGCACCCCGCGCCGTAAAGGATCCAAAGGGCTGTTTCCTTCGGAATTGAAATGACGCTTGGCCTCGCTGTGGTCCCTCCTTGGTAGTTCCCTGGCTCGTTCGGAATATTCATGGAGTTTGTCTCTCGTTCCTGGCAGACGAGAACGCACGGCGGGATGTTGATCTGATTTACGGTCAAGGCGCGTGTGTATCCATCCATTGACCCGTACCTGGCGGAGGAACACGAAGGGTTCTCGGTAGGACGACCGAATAGCAAGGAGAGACATGATCTCCCGCCTTGTCTTGCCCATTGTTTCTGCCCGGCGCAATTTTGTTCTGATTGCTTGTTGGAGGTGAGATGGAGGATTCAGATGAACCCATCTCCATGCACCAATGGCGATTGCCATGCCGTGGCTGCCGTGGATTGATTCGAACTCCATCTTAAAAGAGGGCCAAGAGGGCCGCCGAGGGCATGATCCGGGGGTGGCTAATGTCCGTGAGAGGTCGAAGTGAAGCCGGAGTGGTGCCCCTGGTGCGAATGAAGTCACCGCCAGCAGGGGTTTGGCAGACCGCTGCCGCTGCCCAGCGCATCCCCGGCCATGTCCATGTCTCTGGAGTTCGGAGCCGGCGCCTGCACCTGTCTGTCTGGTGTTGGTGCCGAAGCAGCTGCTGGAGGGACTTTCCGGTGTGCCAGCCAGCGCAAGTGCAAGTGCAGATGCCTGACATTACCTTAGCGCAGATCCCAGCCGCCTGCCCGGCCCCACCTGCTGCTCTGTCGAGTGGTGGCAGTCCCCATTGGCTCCAAAGGGCAGGGGCAGGGGCGTCCCTGATCATCTGATTCGGCAGCCAATCAGGGCGAAGGGGTAGTGCAAGATCTCCCCTCCCGCCCCTCTTAGGCCCGCGCCTTCGAAAGGGGCACAGGGGCACCCACCAACGTGCCTACCGTGGTTCCTGCGTCTTGGAAGGAGGGGACACTGGAGGGGGAAAGTGCGACTGGCCACTCAGCGACGGTCCTCGTGAGCTCTTGCCCCTCAAAGTCCCCTCCTGCCCTCTTTTTCTCGCGCTCCTTTTCGCTCTTCCCACACCGGATGAATGCTTCCCACCGTGTCATTGGCCGCAGATCTTCGGACTGGAAAGAAAGAAGGGGCTTCCTCTTGGGAATCCCTCTTTCCTTCCTTCCCTCCTCTTGGCTTCGCATTGCTCCCTTCCCTTTTTCGTTCGTGTCCACCGAGTGCCGCCCTCGCCTCTCCCCCATCTTTAGTGGGCGTCGCAATGGAGTCGCAATGTGAAGTTGCATGCAGCCATGGAGGGACCCCCAACCAAATGACATTTCGCCCATTCAGCTGTGGATGCAGCGTCCTGTACCTGCATATCGCGTGTGTCACTCTGAAGCCACCCGCGGCACTTTCTCTGTTCTTCACTTCTCATTCGTGTGCACCGACCGGTACGCCCCGAGGAGACGGCTACGACGCCGGTCCCTCACAACTCGCGCCAAACCGTTGGTGCTAGCTGCTTGAAGCCATGCACGAGGACGGTGCCGCAACCCAATCTTGGTGGCCAAACTTGCTAGAAGAACGTCTTCATTGCTAAATCGCATCTTGAAGCAACATGAGGCAGCTAGCTACGACAAACTGGCTCCAAACCAAACCTCCCCTGACGCTGTGGCCAGCAAACGGCGCGGGCTGCCGAACATATCGCAATCGTCGCATTGCAGCTGTTCAGCGCACATCGTCACCGCATTCAGCGGGTGTGCCCCCCGGCCAGCACATCATTCAACGGCACAGTCAAATAAAAAACATACCGTCACTCGCAGCCTCACATCTCATCTCATTTTATCTCGCATTACGAATACCGGTAGCCGGCCTTACGGATACACTAGCACAGTGAGCAATCTGCAATGCTCGTAGCCTTTACGGTGAACCTGACGACGTACGCGTACTTTTGACGAATTTTCCCACTCTTGCTCGGCCGATGGGGACCATATGGGAGGAGCATGGGGGGAAACAGTTCCGACTCCTGAATTCTCACATTCTCTGCGTCTTTTTTTCGCCTTCTTTTTTGCATTAACCTTTTGCCTCTCGCTTCGTTCCTCGCCTGACCTCGCCTGTCACCTCCTCCACATTTCAGTTGGTTCTCCTCGACGTCCGTGAGCGCCGTCGTTTGGAGTACAAGCACAGAAACGATGTTTGGCTCGCCTGGTGACATGAGGGGGGCCAGCGGCAAGCCAGCCTGTGAGAAGAATGACTGGACTAGCTGATTGCAACACTGAGTGAGCAGTAAACTGTAACTGCCACAGTCCTGGAAAGGTACTTAGGGCTTGTACCAAGGCGGCCCCTGTGGCACAGCCAGCAGGATCCTGGTCGCGTCGCGCTGGCCCGGCCCCTTGAAGCAGTACCTTAATCTATTCCAGCCCACATGGAGAGCGATCCCTCCCACACGGTTCGCCCGACCGCTGCCCTGGGGCATATCGCCGTAAGATGCCGCGGCCAGATGGCAGGGTAGCGGCATTTTGCAGACTCTAGCGGCTGCATCTTGGGCCTTGGGGAGACAGGAGGCGGTTGTCGCCCGCTGTCAGCCAGAGTTTGGCTGCTGATCCTGCGTCGAGGACCCTCAAACGGAGGCGAGAGAAGCAA